AAATTCTCTAAAACAATGTTGGAGGCAGCTTATGGTAGAGAAAGGAACATTCAATTCTCTGGCAACAGCTCTGGTGGACATTCCCGTAGTCAGCATGCCAATTGCATGCTGCCTCAATTTGAGACATTTGTGGCATTGTGTTGTGACAAAACTGTACATTTTAGTGGCCTTTTATTGTCCCCAGCACAAGGTGCACCTGTGTAATGATTATGCTATTTAATCCACTTTTTGATATGCCACACCTGTCAGGTGGATGATTATCTTGGCAAAGGATAAATTATTTAACAGGGATGTAAACAAATTTGTGCACAAAATAAGACGTTTTTTGTGCGTTTGGAAAATTGCTGGGTTATTTTATTTCAGCTCATGAAACATGGGACCAACACTTTACATGTGGTGTTTTATAGTTTTATTCAGTATACAGTACCAGTCAAAAGTTTGGACACACCTACTCATTCCAGAGTTTCTTTATTTTTACTATTTTGTACATTGTAGAATAATAGTGAAGAAATCAAAACAATGAAATAACACATATGGAATCACGTAGTAACCAAAAAAGTGTAAAACAAATCAAAATATATTTTATATTTAAGATTCTTCAAAGTAGCCACCCTTTGCCTTGATGACAGCTTTGCACAGTGTCAGACACATCTCAACATCAACTGTTCAGAGGAGACTGCATGAATCAGGCCTTCATGGTCGAATTGCTGCAAATAAACCACTACCGAAGGACACCAGTAAGAAGAAGAGACTTGCTTGGGCCAAGAAACACGAGCAATGGACATTAGACTGGTGGAAATCTGTCCTTTGGTCTGGAGTCCAAATTTGAGATTTTTGGTTCCAACCGCCGTGTCTTTGTGAGACGCAGAGTAGGTGAATGGATGATCTCTGCATGTGTGGTTCCCACCGTGAAGCGTGGGGGTGCTTTGCTGGTGACACTGTCTGATTTATTTAGAATTCAAGGCACACTTAACCAGCATGGCTACCACAGCATTCTGCAGCGATACGCCATCCATCTGGTTTGCGCTTAGTAGGACTATCATTTGTTTTTCAACAAGACAATGACCCAAAACACACCTCTAGGCTGTGTAAGGGCTATTTTACCAAGAAGGAGAGTGATGGAGTGCTGCATCAGATGACCTGGCCTCCACAATCACCCAACCTCAACCCAATAGAGATGGTTTGGGATGAGTCGGACAGCATAGTGAATGAAAAGCAGCTAAGAAGTGCTCAGCATATGTGGGAACTCCTTCAAGACTGTTGGAAAAGCATTCCTCATGAAGCTGGTTGAGAGAATGCCAAGAGTGTGCAAAGCTGTCATCAAGGCAAAGGGTGGCTATTTGAAAAATCTCAAATATAAAGTATATAACACTTTTTTGGTTACTACATGATTCCATATGTGTTATTTCATCATTTTGATGTCTTCACTATTATTCTACAATGTAGAAAATAGTAAAAATAAAGAAAAACCCTTGAATGAATAGCTGTGTCCAAACTTTTCACTTGTACTGTATATTAACTCTATCTTACTTCTAACTAGGCAAGTCACTGATTCAACTAGCTCGCTAGCTGGCTACTGATTCAAAATGTAATGTTACACATACCGGTAACTAGCTAGGTGCTATTAGCAACGGGGGTGTAACGTTAACGTTATTTAAATACACTAGCATTGCTTTCAATTGTATTGGGTTGCACAAAAACAGTCCATGGGAAGCCAGAATGTAAATACAATTCTATTTCAACTTAGGGTTTTTCCACATATAGTCCTCTTTAAAAGAACCGATCTCAGTCCTCTTTAAAGTGAACTCGGGAAGAAAAGAAAGAGCAAAATAACTGTTCCCTTTGAATGAGGACTGAAGGTTGTATTTTTTTTTATATATATTTTTTTTTATATATATATATATATTTTTTCCATTTCACTTCACCTATTTTGTGGTCCGAAACCTCTTTGCATTCCCATTGCTATGTTTAGAAAGAAACCAAGGTATTTTTCCAACATTCACTCAATGAACTCTGGCTGGCCCACAGTCTGGGTTTTTACAAAGGGCAGGACGAGCCATTTCATCAGAACGTGTTATCGGACCGCTAGATATACCTACTCACATTTTGGAAGCTAATAAATTGAATTTAGGTAAACTATGAGACATAATAATTATAATCAGATGATTAATAATAACATGTAAATATTATTGGTAACAGAATAAATAGCAGAAGAATAACTGCAGATTAAATAATGCTGTGTAATTTAAAATTGTACACCCAATGAAGGCTACTGCCCCTTTAAGAGCGAGCATTGATTCACCAAATATGTCATCATAAACTATTCAAACCGCACAATCGAATAAACGGCTTATGAAGCTCTTAGCCTATAGATCATGACTCATATTGCAAATAAATAATCTGAACATCGTGTCGATACAAAACTCAATACATATTTTGTCATGTCTGTGCATCCTTGACGCTAATCAATGTCCAAAAACAGCACACGTTTTTTCCGCGAACCTGAACATCGTATTATCTCTCTTGTGGCACCAATGTGAGTGGTTATGGCAGGGGGAACGGTATTGCAGTAGTCTAGTGTGTGGTGCGGCATTAATGACAAGCGAACATTACATTAAAAAAAACATTTTAGTCATTAAGCAGACGCTCTTATCCAGAGCGACTTACAGTTAGTGAGTGCATACATTTTTCATACTGGCCCCCCGTGGGAATCGAACCCACAACCCTGGCGTTGCATGTACCATTCTCTACCAACTGAGCTACAGGAGGCCCTAACATGGAGAGCTTTGTTTTCACATTGCCCTAAAAAAGGGAACCGGACCACAGACTTCAAACAAACCGAACTTAGACCACCTCTTGAGATGGTTTCCGTTCTTTTCGGGGCTCTTTTGAGGGGTCTGGGTTCCCTTGGAGTGTTCACACTGAGTTCACAAAAGTTGTCTGAAAGGGGCCAAGTTTGAAAACACTTAAGGGACCCACTTCCTCTCTGCTTACCTCATGTCAAAATAAAAGTCCCCCTCAAGTTATTCCTTTTTGTCTACATATGGCACACATGCAGTACTTTTTTATTTTGACATGAGGTAAGCAAAAAGGAAGTGGGTCTACAACAGACCCACGTTTGGAAAGTGTTTATTATTAATCTTTTAGATATTGTGTCTGAAATGTCCTCCCATCATAATGACCAACTGTCCTGCCCACCGGCACAGTAAGTTGAAATTGAATTATATTTAACTTCTGACTGTTTTTGTACAACCCAATACAATTGAAAGCAACGCTAGTGTATGTACAGTGAGGGAAAAAAGTATTTGATCCCCTGCTGATTTTGTACGTTTGCCCACCGACAAATAAATGATCAGTCTATCATTTTAATGGTAGGTTTATTTGAACAGTGAGAGACAGAATAACAACAAAAAAATCCAGAAAAACGCATGTCAAAAATGTTATAAATTGATTTGCATTTTAATGAGGGAAATAAGTATTTGACTCCTCTGCAAAACATGACTTAGTACTTGGTGGCAAAACACATGTTGGCAATCACAGAGGTCAGACGTTTCTTGTAGTTGGCCACCAGGTTTGCACACATCTCAGGAGGGATTTTGTCCCACTCCTCTTTGCAGATATTCTCCTAGTCATTAAGGTTTCGAGGCTGACGTTTGGCAACTCGAACCTTCAGCTCCCTCCACAGATTTTCTATGGGATTAAGGTCTGGAGACTGGCTAGGCCACTCCAGGACCTTAATGTGCTTCTTCTTGAGCCACTCCTTTGTTGCCTTGGCCGTGTGTTTTGGGTCATTGTCATGCTGGAATACCCATCCACGACCCATTTTCAATGCCCTGGCTGAGGGAAGGAGGTTCTCACCCAAGATTTGACGGTACATGGCCCTGTCCATCGTCCCTTTGATGCGGTGAAGTTGTCCTATCCCCTTAGCAGAAAAACACCCCCAAAGCATGATGTTTCCACCTCCATGTTTGACGGTGGGGATGGTGTTCTTGGGGTCATAGGCAGCATTCCTCCTCCTCCAAACACGGCGAGTTGAGTTGATGCCAAAGAGCTCCATTTTGGTCTCATCTGACCACAACACTTTCACCCAGTTCTCCTCTGAATCATTCAGATGTTCATTGGCAAACTTCAGACGGGCATTTTTATGTGCATTCTTGAGCACGGGGTCCTTGCGGGCGCTGCAGGATTTCAGTCCTTCACGGCGTAGTGTGTTACCAATTGTTTTCTTGGTGACTATGGTCCCAGCTGCCTTGAGATCATTGACAAGATCCTCCTGTGTAGTTCTGGGCTGATTCCTCACCGTTCTCATGATCATTGCAACTCCACGAGGTGAGATCTTGCATGGAGTCCCAGGCCGAGGGAGATTGACAGTTATTTTGTGTTTCTTCCATTTGCGAATAATCACACCAACTGTTGTCACCTTCTCACCAAGCTGCTTGGCGATGGTCTTGTAGCCCATTCCAGCCTTGTGTAGGTCTACAATCTTGTCCCTGACATCCTTGGAGAGCTCTTTGGTCTTGGCCATGGTGGAGAGTTTGGATTCTGATTAATTGATTGCTTCTGTGGACAGGTGTCTTTTATACAGGTAACAAGATGAGATTAAGAGCACTCCCTTTAAGAGTGTGCTCCTAATCTCAGCTCGTTACCTGTATAAAAGACACCTGGGAGCCAGAAATCTTTCTGATTGAGAGGGGGTCAAATACTTATTTCCCTCATTAAAATGCAAATCAATTTATAACATTTTTTTTTGTTGTTATTCTGTCTCTCACTGTTCAAATAAACCTACCATTAAAATTATAGACTGATCAATTATTTGTCAGTGGGCAAACTTACAAAATCAGCAGGGGATCAAATACTTTTTTCCCTCACTGTAAATACACCCAAGTTGCTAAAAGCACCTAACCGGTAACGTAAGCTAGCTAGCTAAACCTGTTTTTGGTATTTAGCTAGCTAGTTAGCTAATCATAATAAACAGTCTACATTGAATCGGGAATAACTGTAGTCTCTAAAACTGATTTTCTTTTCGTCAGGTTCCTTTTGTGTGCCTCGGGGGAGTCAGTGAAAGTGTACAGTTCCAGCTCAGAGGAATGCATCCATGATTTGCAGGGACACACAGACCTGGTGTCGGGCATTGTCCGCAACCCTTCAAACCACCTGCAGGTTTGTAAATACAGTAGCTACCAGTTTGTGGGCCCGATATGTGAAAACTTTCCATACTGGGCGTTACAGGAAAGCCCTATACAAAACGTCACCATAGACTTTAACTAACCCGTTCTTGGCGATACTTTTTTCACCGACTCAAGAACGAAGAAAGTATCTTAGAAATGTCTGTGTCCAGTTGCAGGTGGTTTACAAAAAACAGCGAAAACGCAAAGATATTAAATCCTTGTTTTGTACCGAGTGAGAAATGCCTCTTGCATGTGTGTAGATCTTTGTTTTGGTCGCACAGTGTGACGCGCTGTCATCTACTTCTACACGCATAGTTCCTGCAAAGATGTTGTGAAATGCAAGATGTCTGGCAGCTAAAATGCAGAGGGAACGCCTCACTTGGTGCAAAACATAGATTTAATATCTTTCTGAGTTTCCGCAGGTTTTTGTAGAATGACCTGCAACTGACACACACATTTCTAAGATACTTTTTTCACAGAATGGAGAACAAAGAAAGTATCACTAAGAATAGGTATTATTATTATTATAAAATAGGTAGGTTGAAGAATCTATGGCAGCGTTTTGTATAGGGCTTTCCTGTAACACCCAGTATGGAAACATAGTTATCACATATCTGGTAGCTATAAAGACAGTAGCTACATACAGTACCAGTCAAGTTTGGACACACCTACTCATTCAAGGGTTTTCTTTATTTTTACTATTTTCTACATTGTAGAATAAAAGTGAAGACATCAAAACTATGAAATAACACATATGGAATCATGTAGTAACCAAAAATGTGTTTATATTTGAGATTCTTCAAAGTTGCCACCCTTTGCCTTGAAGACAGCTTTGCACACTCTTGGCATTCTCTCAACCAGCTTTATGAGGAATGCTTTTCCAACAGTCTTGAAGGAGTTGCTGAGCACTTGTAGGCTGCTTTTCCTTCACTCTGCTGTCCAACTCATCCCAAACCATCTCAATTGGGTTGAGGTCGGGTGATTGTGGAGCCAGGTAGCTTAGTGGGTAAGAGCGTTGTGGCAGTAACCGAAAGGTCGCTGGTTCTAATCCCAGAGCCGACTAAGTGAAAAATCTGTCTGTGCCCTTAAGCAAGGCACTTAACCCTAATTGTTCCTGTAAGTCGCTCTGGATAAGAGCGTCTGCTAAATGACTTAAATGTAAATCTGATGCAGCACTTCATCACTCTCCTTCTTGGTCTTACACAGCCTGGAGGTGTGTTTTGTGTCATTGTCCTGTTGAAAAACAAATGATAGTCCCACTAAGCGCAAACCAGATAGGATGGCGTATCGCTGCAGAATGCTGTGGTAGACATGCTGGTTAAGTGTGCCTTGAATTCTAAATAAATCACAGACAGTATCACCAGCAAAGCACCCCCACACCATAACACCACCTCCTCCATGCTTTACGGTGGGAACTACACATGCGGAGATCATCCGTTCACCCACACCGCGTCTCACAAAGACACAGCGGTTTGAACCAAAAATCTGTTGTTTCTTGGCCCAGGCAGGTCTCTTCTTATTATTATTGGTGTCCTTTAGTAGTGGTTTCTTTGCAGCAATTCGACCATGAAGGCCTGATTCACACAGTCCCCTCTGAACAGTTAATGTTGAGATGTCTGTTACTTGAACTCTGAAGCATTTATTTGGGCTGCAATTTTTGAGGCTGGTAACTCTAATGAACTTATCCTCTGCAGCAGAGGTAACTCTGGGTCTTCCATTCCTATGGCGGTCCTCATGAGAGCACACAATTTTGGTTACTACATGATTCCATTTGTGTTCTTTTCATAGTTTTGATGTCTTCACTATTATTCTACAATGTAGAAAATAGTAAAAATAAAGAATAATCCTTGAACGAGTAGGTGTGCCCAAACTTTTCACTGTTACTGTACGTGTCTGCAATCAGCAACTTGTTTGTCTAAAGAATAGTTTGTTGTTGCTTCTATGGTTTGGTGTCTCTGAGGAATGTTTGTTCATTGCAATGTTTTGAGTGTAGACTTGTTTCACTCTCCTGCAGGTATACTCTTGCTCAACAGATGGCACTGTCCGATTGTGGGACTTCACAGATGGCATCCTCATCAAGGTACAGCCACAGCCGCACTCTTCGAAGTCATTTGCCATCGCTGCGTCCTTTTTGCTTCATGTATTTATAAATCACTTTACTATAATACTTTTCAGACCTTCATTATTGGGTACCCCATCTACTCCATATACGTCTCTGAAAAACATGGAGGAGTTGTGTTTGTCGTCATCCCAATGGCAAATGACAAAAGCTCTGGTAAGTACAAATCAGAGGTTGGCATTTGCTCATCAATTGTCCTTAAGCCTATATAGGGCCTTTTTGCAGTCAGAGTAAAAGTGTTCTTTCAAGTCACAAGTGATTTTATTTTGTAATTTGTCAACATAATAGTGCAGAATTTTGAGGAGGGTGACCTCTGACAGTGATGTGGTATGTGTGTGTGTCTTCAGAGCTGTTCCAGCTGGTGGCTGTTCATCTGCCCCGAAGTGTGGACCAGGAAGTGGAGGCGCGAGAGCTCTCGGCCGTGCTCTATGATGTCAGCCCCTACCCTGGGGCTGCCTCCTTTGGCAGAGAGGTACGTGTAGTAGGCCTACCAGGGACTTCAGTAGCAAACAAGTCTCTGGCAGTAAACGACTTACGCTTGGGTCACTTGTCATAGTTTGCCCATTGTATTGTTAAGCGAAAGGCATGAGGTTTTTTATTACCACCTCCAATATGGACGCCAGCTCTTCACGAAAAGCTTATTTATTTCTCCAATCTAACAGGGTGAATACATTGCTGCTGCCAAAGGTTTACAGCTTGAGGTGTTTTTCTTCAAGAAGCAGAAGTCCTACAGGTAAACAACATTCTGCCCCATCAGGTGGCTGTCCCCTTCAAGGACTCTAAGCATGAATGTTAATGACTGGTTTTGTCTCTCTGGCTAGTGTTTGTGCAATACAAGTCCAAACACGCTGAACAGCAGTCTTGTTATCTGTTGGATGAGTGGCCTTTCTGCTTGTTTGTGGTCAGGAGTGGGGGAGTTCAGCCAGCCCTCTCAATTGTTTTGAGCAACCCCCTCGTCTGGAAACAGGATTCATTACAGTATTATATGGGGATTTGACATTGCCCAACTAACATTACTCATCAAAGTAAGCCTCCTGTAGCTCAGTTGGTAGAGCATGGCGCTTGCAACGCCAGGGTTGTGGGTTCGATTCCCACGGGGGGCCAGTATGAAAAATGTATGCACTCACTAACTGTAAGTCGCTCTGGATAATAGCGTCTGCTAAATGACTAAAATGTAAAAATGTAGCACTCATTCAACTGTATTGTCTGTTTCTGTGACCCACAGGTTTCTCCTGAAGTCGGGGATTAAGAAAGGGGCCAAGAATGAATTCACCTGTGTCTCGTGCCACCCTAAAGAGGACTGTATCGCCACAGGTCACGCGGACGGCAAGATTCGCCTGTGGTGAGTGATGCCGGAAGAACATAGAGTCCCTGACCATACATGGCCTCACTTAAGACCAAATTTAGGGGAAACACTGGATTGGCATCACTCACAATCAATGTTCTTTCTCTGTCTTCATAGGAGAAACTTCAACCAGAAGAAGGAGTACACGTACTCCACCCTGCACTGGCACCACGGGGCCGTCAACACACTGCACTTCACCCCTGAAGGTAACCTATAACCCCTGACCCTATAACTGTTGAATTATACCTATACAAATCTTCATCTTTGATCACACTACATGGGTTGTGTAGAGAAGCATGTCTGTTATATGAAATATATTTTATTTTCTCTGTTAAGCTGTGTGCACTGAACTGACATGCATGATTGTTGCTGACATGCATGATTGTCCAGATGAAGGGAATTAAATAGTATATAATGTGCACCACTGTGGCACTCAACTCAAGCAGTGGTAGCCTACTGCTGACAAAGTAATTCAAAGCCTCTACTTTATCACTCGGGTCAGGATGCTACTTTCTAGTGCTACTATATTTGCCTTGTAATGTTATTAAAACATAGTTAACCTATTTACCTAGTTGGCTTGCCGTGTGTTCTGTAAGATAACTATTCCTCTTGAGTCGCATTCATGTTGCGAGAGCCATAGGGAGGGAAACATGTATTCTGACAAGCAATCAGTACACATAAATTCCTAATTCAAAGCTGTTTTGGGAAATGTATTATGAAAGCAGTTTGGACCTTTTGTTAAAAATTGTTTTTTTTCTCCATTGCTACCATTTTATTTATTTACTCCTTCTATGGCGCGAGTGACATCGTTTTACAAATGCAGTTACAACCGACGTTTCAAGCATGGTTTAGGAGCAGCTGCGCAACATAGCCCAAAGGGGACAATGGCATCTAGAATAGAAACCCCAAAAATCAAAGGGAACAATTATTTGTAATAAAATATTAATTATGAATAATAACAACAACAATTAGGATGTTGTGTCCAATGGGGTAAATGCAGATCGCAAACTCCATGCTTCAGCCTATGGAAATGTTATAGCCACTATGCTGCATCAGTTGGGCTACAGGTGATCATGCTTACTGCTAATGGCACATCTGATAGACCATGCATAGGCAATATGCATGGTCCAATATGTAAACATTATTTTAAACATTTTTACCAATATGTTATTGGGCTAATTTCTGGAGGTGGAAATTATATTTTAGATGGTGTCAGCATAATTTTATTTTTGTTTTTTAAAAGTCACCAGAACTGAGCTTCTCAGTCCTTCTATATAAACATTATCCTGAATGAACTTCAAGCAAAACATTAGGAAATTTAGCTGGCTACATTCTTTCTATGATAAACATGAGAAATCTGATGGCAATGCATAGGTTTTGCAAAAAATACCTTGCTTTTTCATTCTAAGCTAATTTAGTTGTGTGGCCAAGTAATGTTGCACTTCTGTTGTTATCGATGAAAACAAAGCTATTTTTTGCCGAATGTGTTGCATTAATGTGAAGAAAAACTATAGTTGCACGTCCTGATCACTCTATTGAAGCAAATAAACAAATTTGACTTTCAATATAAAACGCAGGTGAAATGGTTTAAAACTGTCTGCTCTATGCCAACTGTTTTCCTGGTTCATGATGTAAGCATTCTGACCAGTGGCGTGACGGTCTTTGTCTCCACTTCTTTTCTGTAGGCACCAACCTGTTAAGCGGGGGGATAGAATCGGTGCTGGTCCAGTGGTGCTACACACAGGAGAACCAGAAGGACTTCCTGCCGCGCCTGGGCGCTGCAATCACACACATTGCTGTGTCACCTGACGGTTCATTGTTCTGCACCTCCCACTCTGACAACAGTAAGGACTGTTACACCCTGTTACAATAATTTCATGGTTAATTCCTCCCATCTTTCCTCCCTCGAAGTAATCACTGATCTGACATGACTGGAATGGTCACTGCTATGTAGCGGATTTCATTGCTATTAATTTGTTAGATCAGTGATTACTTTAAGGAAAGATTCTTAAAATTGTTCAGGGTCCTCAGTCTCACACTAGAAGGGGACAGCAGATTCCCAAGTAGCATATCATATTTTATCTTAGCAATGGCTGGTGCTGACATCATCATGTACAGTGGGGTCCAACATTTGCTAGAGACTGTATAGACTAAATCAGGGGTGTCAAACTCATTTTAGCTCAGGGGCCACATGGAGGAAAATCTATTCCCAAGTGGGCCGGACCGGAAAAATCATGGTGTATATATAACTTAAAAACAACAACTTCAGATTGTTTTCTTTGTTTTAATACGATCAACATACAACATAAAGCTGGAGCCTGAGGACAGTGTGTCCAAAATAGTACAAGCACAACATCACTATTAATCATAAAACACGTCAAGTTTATTTGAAAATTCTAAAGAAAAAGAACACACAAACACACAATGCCTCAGTGATTAACAGAACTGTTTCACAGATCACAGAACTATATCAGGGTGTCATTTCTCAGGCAGAAATGTAGATAAAAATAATGAAATCCTGTTCCCCAAACAAGTGCAAGAACCACAGAGTCAAGAATATGTTAAATATACAAATAAAATAAAATCAATTAAAAACAATAGCACATCAACATAAAAACATATAAACATAAATCTGAAAGCGTTGCTCAAACTCCCGTAACAGTCCCGTTATTTTATCTTTGAACCGCTTCATGTCTGCCACATGTTGGGTCGCGCACACATTTTTCAGACAGGGGAAGTGAGCTGCATCACCACCGGCAAGTTGCGTCTCCCACAATGACAGCTTCAACTTGAAAGAACGTATGCTGTCATAATACTGCGTGACAACTTTGTTGCGACCTTGCAGCTGTTTGTTCAAGTTATTCAGGTGCTCTGTAACATCCACCATAAATGCAAGGTCCTGCATCCATTCTGCGGAATGAAATTCTAACACTGGTTTGCCCTTTTCTTCCATGAACTGTTCAATTTCTTCTCGTAAATCAAAGAAACGCCTCAGCACAGCACCTCGGCTTAACCATCTTACCTCAGTGTGGTATGGCAGGCCATAGATGTGGTCTTTCTCTCTGAGAAGGCTGTCAAACTGACGGTGATTCAGGCTTCTGGATCGGATGAAATTAACAGTTTGGATGACCACCTTCATGACGTTATCCATCTTTAATGACTTGCAACACAAAGCCTCCTGGTGCAAAATACAGTGAAAAGTCAAAAAATCACGTCCTCCATTTGCAGATTGCACTTTCTCTCTGAACTTTGTCACAACGCCTGCTTTTTTCCCGATCATTGAGGGCGCACCATCTGTAGCCAGGCTGACAGCGCGGGACCAGTCCACTCCGACCCTGTCCAGCGCGCCGACGAGTGCGGTAAAAATATCAGCTGCTGTCGTTGTATCTGTCATCGGCACCAACTCCACGAACTCCTCGGTGACGGTCAATGTGTCATCAACTCCGCGGATGAAAATGGCCAGTTGTGCAACATCTGTAATGTCCGTGCTTTCAAAAATTGCAACCGAAAACGCAATAAATGACTTTACTTTTTGCTTCAACTGGCTGTCCAAATCCACTGAAAGATCGGAAATCCTGTCTGCAACTGTGTTTCTTGTCAGGCTGATATTTGCAAAAGTCTGCCGCTTTTCAGGGCACACAATCTCCGCTGCCTTCATCATGCATGTTTTTACAAATTCACCCTCACTAAATGGTTTTGAAGCCACTGCGATTTCATTAGCAATGAGGTAGCTAGCTTTCACTGCAGCGTCACTGATGTCTCGGCTGTGAGTAAACACAGACTGCTGTTTCTTCAGACCCGCCAACAGTTCATTCACCTTCTCTCATCTCCGCTGTCCTTGAAAGTTGTCATATTTGTCGGCATGAAGACTCACATAGTGGCGACGAAGGTTATATTCTTTCAGCACTGCAACATGCTCTGAACACACCAAACATACAGCTTTCCCATTCAATTCCGTGAATAAATAGGATGACCATTTTTCTTGGAACACTCTGCACTCTGCGTCCACTTTTCTCTTTTTTGACAGAGACATATTGGGGCAATGAGGGTGCCAAAGCACATAATGTTAAAAGTAGAAGCCGTAATAAATATCGCGGGCAAAACAAAGTAGCTCATTGGCTGCACGTGCTTGACCTATTTGCTCTGCCCCGGTATAAACAGTTTGCTTGCTTAACACAATTGCTATTGCGCCATCCAGTGGACGCAATTGGAACAGCAGTTTATTTTATAGAAAAATTGCAGCGCATTTTTATACTTTACCAAAAAAAAAAAAAATTTTTTTTTTTTAAATCATCTCGCGGGCCGGATTAAACCCGTTTGCGGGCCTGATCCGGCCCGCGGGCCGTACGTTTGACACCCCTGGACTAAATAATACATACTGAGCTATATTGTATGCCTTTATTAAATTATTTTATACTAATTCAATTACTCAGAGAAAGAGATTTTGTTTAACAAGTAATAAATACATCTCAGAAAGATAGGGGTCAAAAGTTTTGGATCCCCTGTTTTCAATATGCCCCTTGCGAGGATAACGACACTGAGCCTTTTCCTAAAATGTTTATGAGATTGAAGAACACATTGTAAACGCCTGGAGCATTGGCACTTGGATTGGAACCAGTGCTATGGTCAGATGACATGAAAATAGAGCTCTTTGGCCACGCACACTTCTGGACGGTTTTGCGTTGAAGAAAGATGCATAATCAGAAAATAACCACATAGCTACTGTAAAATATGGTGTTGAATCTTTGATCTTATGGTGCTGTTTTACTTCCACTGGTCCTGGGGCCCTTCTTAAAACCTTGAGACCTGCGGTCACTCCGGCGTCATTTAGTGCCTTTAACCCCTCTTAAACATTGCGTTTGAGCTGCAGACTTCTTTGCATTGGATTCGTATATTTCTTCTGCGTCCGCTGATGCCAACCATTAGTCTATGTGATTTAATGGGAACTAGTGGTGTTAGTGAGACCAGGGCGGATCACGAAAACTGTTCCTCTCACAAAAACGTCAGTAATGTCCGAACAGTTTGAGCAACAATGACCCCCTATGAAAAGCTGATACACACACGTGTAATCTGTTTTGCTCACAAGCAACACAAGTCGTTAGAAGGTAAGGGGTTCTTCTACATAGATCATAGGAAATCCCAGGACATAGTAATATAATACTGTAATAAATTCACATAGTTGTCACTGACTAGTTGGATATTCATTTCCCACTGAGCAAACAATTTCTGTACTTACAGCATTCTTATAAACACATTTTCTATCAGGTTTTTGCTTGGCGGACCTTGTTTGTTTATTGACATTTGTCAAAACTCATGAATGCAGCTGTTTATGTCAAATTGTTTTGTGTTCTACTTGTAGCCCTGGATGTCCTGAAAAGTAAATAGTAAAACAATTAAATGTGAGGCTAAATATGAGGGCAGAGCAAGCAGATGAATGAAATAACAGAATTTCTGCTTTTTCACTGGAGGATTTCCTGGTTTCAAATGAGTTAAGGTCCAACGGCATCATGACCTTTACCAAGTACCAGGACATTTTAGCCAAAAACCAGGTTGCCTCTGCCAGGAGGCTTATACTTGGCTACAAGTGGATCTTCCAGCAAGACAACCACGAGCACATCTAAAATCCACAAATGGTTAATTGACCACAAAATCAACATTTTGCAATGGACATCTCAGTCTCCGGACTTGAAACCTGTGGTTTGAATTGACGAGGGCAGTCCATAAGAGCAGACCAAGGATATCAAGGATCTGGAAAGATTCTGAATGGCGGAATGGTCTAAGATTTCCTCCCAATGTGTTCTCCAATCTCATAAAACATTTTCGAAAACGGCTGTGTCGTTATCCTCGCATGGGGAGGGTGCTGGAGTATTTATTTTAATTTTTTATTATTACTTGTTAAACAAAATCTCTTTCTCTGAGCAGTTGTATTAGTATAAAATAATATAATTTCCCGATGTTTTTTTTTTTATAGCTCAGTATTTGTATTATTTATTTAATAGTCTTTTTGCTCCTCTTTATCAAGGGATCCAATAATTCTGGACCCCACTGTATGTTATTTTGTCAAACAACTGGAAGGGCTTTTGGATGTTGTCACAGAGTTCAATCTGTAGACCTGATCCATCCTCTTTATTTTTATTATTTCTCTCTCTTCCCTATCCCTCAAGAAATCACTATAATCCAGAGCTGTGTTAAAGTGTCGGCCATCATCCAAGGGCTGGTAAAGGGCGAGGGTGTGCGGACAGACCTGACGATCGACCCGCGTAGTAAAGCCTTGGTGCTCAACGGGAAACCAGGCCACTTGCAGTTCTACTCTCTCCATCACGACAAGCAGCTCTACAATGTAAGCATGTATTTTATCGCCAGGAGCTGTCAATGAAAAACACAATACACTGTCCTTGTAAACTTGGCCCAGGGAGCTATCTAGGAATGTTCTTGAACTTTGATGTCATGTGACTCATAGACAGAATGACTAGAATGGATATTCAAGTCATTCTATTTCTATGGCCTGAGTCTTGGAGGTCTGGCTTCGCTCTTTTGTCATGAACTCAAAATTAGCTCTTTGATAACTTAATTAACTCTTATTGACCAATCAAGCTGATAAAAATGATTTTACTATTTCTCTTCTACCTTCAGTTGGACATAGTACAGCAGGAGTACATCCACGAAGAGGGTCTGGATCAGTTTGAGGTGGTCAAGGCGGCGTTCGACACCCGCGGCGACTGGCTTGCTACGGTGGAGGAGAGGAAACAAAAAGGCTCTGAGCTGGAGATTAATTTGAAGCTGTGGGCGTACGATGAGCAAACTCAGAGGTACTATTTGTTTGCACACCATAGCCAGATGGTGAAGCGTGATTCATCACTCCAGAGAACGCGTTTCCTCTGCTCCAGAGTCCAATGGCGGCAAGCTTTATACCACTCCAGCCGACATTAGGCATGTGTACGGCTGCTCGGCCATGGAAACCCATTTCATGATGCTCCCAACAAACAGTTATTTTGCTGACCTTGCTTCCAGAGGCAGTTTGGAACTCGGTAGTGAGTGTTGCAACTGATGGCAGACGATTTTTACACGCTACGCGCTTCAGCACTCGCCAGTCCCGTTCTGTGAGCTTGTGTGACCTACCACTTCGTGGCTGAGCCGTTGTTGCTCCTAGACGTTTTCCACTTCACAATAACAGCACTTACAGTGGACCAGGGCTGAAGTTTTACGAACTGACTTGTTGGAAAGGTGGCATCCTATGACGGTGCCACGTTTAAAGTCACTGAGTTCTTCAGTAAGGCCATTCTACTGCCAATGTTTGTCTATGGAGATTTAATGGCTGTGTGCTCTATTTTATACACCTGTCAGCAACGGGTGTGGCTGAAATGGCCGAATTCACTAATTTGAAGGGGTGTCCACATACTTAAACGTACACTATATATACACAAAAATATGTGGTTTCCATCTTTCACCCACTCTCCACCCTTCCCCCTCCCCCCTCTGTAGTTTTGTGCTGAACACTACAGTCACAGCCCCCCACGAGGACCGGATTACAGCCATGTGCTTCAGCCCCTCACCAGAGACCACCATGCTGGTGACCATCAGCTTCGACGGCCATTTCAAAGCCTGGCTGCTGGCAGACCACTCGGACACCAAGGGTAAATGGTTCTTTCTACAGCGTTTTGGTTTGGATCACTGAGCCTGATGGCCAGGATTTCGCAAGAGTCTGCCTATAATGTTCTTTCATTTTGGTCCTGGAGACCTGCTAGTTATTGTTCACTGACACATGATTTGGCTAATCAAGGTATTGATGAGCTAAATCAGATTGATGCTCTAACATTATCCCTGGCTTTTCCTTTCTCTCTATGCCGCTGACTACCAGCAGAGGGCGCCTCCTGGTCATGTGACTTTGTGGGCGGGTACCACCTTCTTAAGCCTGGCTGCTGCTGCTTCTCGGCTGACGGCTCCCTATTGGCTGTCGGTTTCCAGGAAGTGGTGACGGTATGGAGCCCCGCCTCCTGGGAGCTGCTCACCACCCTGTCCCAGCCCCCAGGGGCCATCAGGTCAGAGCTCACACTTACACACGTATAAACAAACACACACACTTACAAACAACTTCACACACTGATACAAGTATACACAAACACGCATTACCATTCAAACGAACAAACATTTCAACAACTTTCCTAACAAAAAAACGTGTATGTTAGCAGATAAGCCGTCTGTCAACAAACAAGATGGCCTTTTAAACTAGCAGCTATGACTCATGATATGAACTTAGATTCACATTTACATTGTTTATTTGTGTAAAACCCTCCGTGGTAGATAAGTCTAATATTTGACCTCACTGGCACAAAACAAGAGTGCACTTTATGGCAACAGATCGGGAACATACAAAAAAACTAGTGATATTGGCCAGCCATGTCAACTTGGGAGACAGAACCTGCTCTGCAACATTGAGGGAGCTTGCCAAGTCAGCTCCCCCCTCCTTAGGTTAGCGAGTGCAGAAAACTAGTATTTGGTGTTGTCTTACTCAATTGCATGCCAGAGCTGCCTAGCTGCTGCCTATAAACTCGTGATAAATGTTAACTGTTGCAGTGCTGTGTGATTTACCAGTCCCAATTAAAATGTGTTCTTTTACTTCCTCTGGACATTTGCATGCCCTGGTTTTAGTGCTGTTATTCACAATGGTCCCAAGAGTCAACTATACATCACTCTTAATTATTTTACTTCCTCCACCTAAATGAGGATCTAATGTATAGGACTAGCTCTGCCTCATATGTGCTCAGAGTAATGGAGACACTTGCTGGTACAGAAATGGCTTTGGAAGTTGAGCACTGCAGACATCCTCTCTGCACTGTTATTCCAGCTGCCCACAGCCCCTTCTATAACCGCCTCCTATGGATTTTCTGTTTGGCGTCTACCTGTGCTCTGAACAGAAATGATTTCAGGTGACTAAATTTGTTGTTGTAGCTCTGGTGTGGAAAAGCTCCTTGCCGCTAATCCTGTGATTGGGTTGTGGTATGGTCAGGGGGACTTTGAAAGTATGGTAAGAGACTGGTGACAGGGTTTGAAAGTTAACAGACTCTTTTGATCCACCAGGGACCTTTGTTTTGGACGGTTAAGCTGTTCCAAGTACCTGTTGGGGACCAGCACCAAGAACCAACTCAGTTGCTGGAACCTCCTCACCTGCTCACGTAAGACAGACCCTCTGACACGTGTGTGTGCCTATGTGCAACTGTCCTATAAGCAACATATCCACAACCTAAAATAAAAAAAATCTGTTCAATCCATAGACCTAACTTTTCTGTTTCTACTTTTGTTTCTCTCTCTTTCCTTCTCTCTCTCAGTGGAGTGGAGTACCCCGATGGATGTGAGCCTGCTCCAGGCCGACCCACTGTCTGAGAACATAGCTGCCTTCTGCAGTCAGTCTGACTGCTCTGACTGTGAGTGCTTCCAGGTTCTAGCTCCCAGCTCCAACGGGACTCTTTCTGTTTGCTTAGTTAGATTTAGACTTGGCTGGGTCTACCATATGACAAGGCTAAAGTACATATTATAGAATACCTAGGGGACCCTGCCATGCTAAACTTTGGGTCCCTGGGTTGTGCGGTATGGCAACATCACCTAAACATAAATAGGTTATATGGGCTTCACTCATCAATGCCCTCTCCTCCCACCAGTGTTTGTGTTCAAGCCCAGCGAGCCGCGGCCCCTCTACTCCCAGAGGGCCTTGTGCACGGGCCAGGTGCAGCACGCCGTCTTCGCCCCGCGTGACCAGATGCTGGAGAGCTGCGAGGAGCGCGCTCAGTGGCTCAACAGATCCCAGCTCTACTTCCTCACCCAACACATGGTGAATATATAATACACAGACTGTCTCCAGACTCAAGGCTTCCTCTCCACGTCTCCTTTCCTTTGTCACCACTAATGGATTAAAGGACTGGACACACCACATGTTCTGTTCCAATTCAAACCTTGAAGATAAGTTCCCCCAAACTACTAAATTACATTGAAAGTAAAGAACCCGTTCATCTGAGGTGATGGAGCATGCGTGGGTTTTACTTCTTATTCCACTGGCAGGTAACTAACCACAGAGTTCTGTCTGACATCCTCTCTCCATTGTAGGATTTGATGACATTTAGCACCAAGACTGAGGAGGACAGACTGTTGGCATCCAGTAAACAGGTACAATCCCACTTTGTTACAAAGCAGTTGCAAAACATATTGCCAAAGTAATCTATTCCTGTAACACATGTATAGCATTCTCTATTTAAGTCCTGACTATTTGTTTTTGGGGTGTTTTTCAGCTCGTGGTGGACGACAGTGTTGCTGTGACGCCGTTCTATCTGTTGCTAGGGAAACACAGACAGCAGCAGCAGGAGAAGCAAGAAGTGCTGACCAATCCCATGGCAGAAAGGACTCAGCTACCACAGGGCTCCATTGCCATCAAGGAGGTGTGTGTGTGTGCACGAGCATTCATGCAAGGGTCACTGGCCATTCATTTGCGGACCTGCAAATAAGCTAGTGTTTTTACGTTCTGTAGTGTTGGCCCTCAAAGTTCATGTTTGTTTTGCTAGAATGCTTAAATAGTGCATGTGCCAAGTACTTGTACACTTCCATGTAGTGAACTACTGAATATACGGAGTTCACTTTAGATGCTAGCTGAGACTAATTGGTCTGCAAATATTTCTAGATTGTATTAGAAAGTTCAATAAAAATGTTATGTACTTTTTAGATCAGGTTCTTGATCATTGCCTTGAAGGGGGGGAGTGGAAGACAGTGAGCAATAAGCATCAGGACCTCCACATAACTCACTCCTCTCTCCCCCTCAGCTGCTGTACACCCCAGCCCACGTCCTGCCTTCAGCCTCGTTCCTCTGCTCTATGTTCGTCCGCTCCCTGCTCATCTCCAGCTCTTCAGCCAGGTGAGTCCAGTAACTAGTAGTTACTTTATTGTCCCAGACAAGAAAATGGTTTGTGGCATATAGTCAAAAAAAAAAAAAGAATAACAAATTGTGCCAATGTGGTGTAGCGGTCGGGGCTCCCGACTCAGGAACGCATATAGATTTTGGCCACCCTCTGTCTATTCCCCTACTATTGAGGTCTGAATTCTGATTGTAAAAAATTATACATTACAATTGACATAGAATCACAATAAATAGGTTAAGCTATATTGGCCTGAAAACAATTAAGGTCAAAGCAGTATGGTGATGATGGCCTTACACCCTAGCAGACTCTTTCACCAGTCTTGCTCTGACACATCAGTGCAGATGGAGACAAGGTGAGGAAGCCACATCAAACAAATGAGATTTGACCACCTGGTTTGTCTTAATCAGAACTAAAAGGCCAGAATTGAATCCAGCGCATCCGGTTCAAGAACTGGAGATGTGCAGGCCACCACACACTGGCTGTGTCCGAATACCCATACTAGTGTACTACAGACTTAAACTGCATACTATTTACTCATCGCTGCATACTATTTAGCACGTACCGTTTAGTAAAAGGTATGCCCCGGCTGCAACACAGTAGCGGCTCCTGATTGGCTGAGTAGGTGGGGCGGGACCGAGTGCAGATGGATTTTTCCAAATTCAACAGACATGCATCTCATTAACCTGCCTGATAATAGCACATTTCCAACTTGATTAATTTCTCTAAACTCTGAATAGAATAGGAATGGCATTCTAGGCCTACTCAGGCTGGTTATAAGCACACTATCACATTCAACCTATACTGTAGTAGACCATATAGCCCATCTATCCTATTTAAAAAGGACTGAAGACAGAAACAGATCATGTTGATTCCATTTCAACATATTTATTAGCGAAACCAAAGTGCTGTAACATACACTACCAGTCAAAAGTTTGGACACACCTACTCATTCAAGGGTTTTTCTTTATTTGTACAATTTTTTACATTGTAGAATAATAGTGAAGACATCAAAACTATTAAATAACACATATGGAATCATGTAGTAACCAAAAAAGTGTTAAACAAATCAAAATATATTATTCAAGTAGCTACCCTTTGCCTTGATGACAGCTTTGCACACTCTTGGCATTCTCTCAACCAGCTTCATGAGGTTGTCACCTGGAATGCATTTCAATTAACAGGTGTGCCTTCTTAAAAGTTAATTTGTGGAATTCATTTTGAGCCAATCAGATGTTTTGTGACAAAGTAGGGGGGGGTATACAGAAGGTAGCCCTATTTGGTAAAAGACCAAGTCCATATTATGGCAAGTTGAGCTCAAATAAGCAAAGAGAAACGAGAGTCCATCGTTACTTTAAGACATGAAGGTCAGTCAATATGGAAAATGTCAAGAACTTTGAAAGTTTCTTCAAGTGCAGTTGCAAAAACCATCAAGCGCAGCACTATGATCAAACTGGCTCTCATGAGGACCGCCACAGGAATGGAAGACCCAGAGTTACCTCTGCTGCAGAGGATAAGTTCATTAGAGTTACCAGCCTCAGAAATTGCAGCCCAAATAAATTCTTCACAGAGTTCAAGTAACAGACACATCTCAACATCAACTGTTCAGAGGAGACTGTGTGAATCAGGCCTTCATGGTTGAATTGCTGCAAAGAAACCACTACTAAAGGACACCAATAAGAAGAAGAGACCTGCTTGGGCCAAGAAACATGAGCAATGGACATTAGACAGGTGGAAATTTGTCCTTTGGTCTGGAGTACAAATTGGAGATTTTTGGTTCAAACAGCCGTGTCTTTGTGAGACGCGGTGTGGGTGAACAGATGATCTCCACAGGCTTAACCAGCATGGCTACCACAGCATTCTGCAGCGATACGCCTTCCTATCTGGTTTGCGCTTAGGGGACTATCATTTGTTTTTCAACAGGACAATGACCCAACACACCTCCAGGCTGTGTAAGGGCTATTTGACCAAGAAGGAGAGTGATGGAGTGCTTCATCAGATGATCTGGCCTCCACAATCCCCCGACCTCAACCCAATTGAGATGGTTTGGGATGAGTCAGACAGCATAGTGAATGAAAAACAGCCAACAAGTGCTCAGCATATGTGGGAACTCCTTCAAGACTGTTGGAAAAGCATTCCAGGTGAAGCTGGTTGAGAGAATGCCAAGAGTGTGCAAAGCTGTCAAGGCAAAGGGTAGCTATTTGAAGAATCTCAAATATAAAATATATTTTGATTTGTTTTTAACACTTTTTTGGTAACTACATGATTCCATATGTTCCATATTCATAGTTTTGATGTCTTCACTATTATTCTACAATGCAAAATAAAGAAAAACCCTTGAATGAGTAGGTGTGTCCAAACCTTTTGACTGGTACTGTATATCAATTAGATCCAATAGCCTAGTACACACACCAAAACTTTTCAGATGTTCAAATCAAAAGGCTATTGCACAGACAAACGTGGACAGTCAGGTGCATTACAAATTCAGAACCGCTGGACAGCAACATAATAAACTAAACCACTGATCATTGGGAATGAGATCAGAATGACTGCTAAGGCTTGATCCATTAATTAAATAGGTAGCCTAGCCTACAAAACTAAAACGATACATATGTTCAAATCAGAATGCCTGATTTAACATGACATCAGTAACGCAGTACTTGGTGCCGACACATTCAGAAATCAAGATGGTTTAGTATTTAGTTTAAAAGCTGTGACGAAGGCCAAGAGAACAAGAAACACTTTTCAGTGAAAAAATAGAATCACTATAAAAAAAAATAATACTTGCAATGCTCATTTTAAGGAGCACAAAAATGACTTAGCCTACATTTTTTAACTCTACTGCAGAAGCTTCAGGCATCTTCCCATTTAAGTAGCCTAGTTTTGTTGTTTGGCTACTTGAAGAGACCTAGGGCCTATCACTCGCAGCCCACCTCTTCCAATGCATTGTGGAAAAGTGTGCATCAAATTCTACTAGATTATCTGAAATGAGTATAACATCCTGGCATTTACCACTATTCATTGATTTCTGTAGCACATCCACATATCTAATTGATCAGCTGTTGTCAAAGCCTAAATGAGTATGACATCCGGGCATTTAAAGTATATTCGATTTTCGAAATGTCGAATACTATTAAACTTAAATTTAAAACGGCCTACTATTTAGGATTCAAGTATGGGTATTCAGACACTGCCATTGACTTCATTTGGAAGGTTGTGAAGTTCAACTGTCCGCTTTTATTGAGAGGTTGATGTGGACTGAATAATGACATATGAAGAGGCATGTGCATACTGCACAGTCATTATTTGGATGGTTGTCTGCACCACTCAGACTTGGCATGATGTCTGTGTTGACATTGCTCAGGGTCAAGGGTCACTCAGCCAAAGGCCTACTGGGAGATCGGAGAGATGGCTCTAGTCTTGGCAGCGAGGCTGAAAACACTATCAGCCTCGTTAATCTTTGAAATGTTTTTCAAATCAACAATATGCCTTCAGAACTTTTCAATTCCTGACTGAAAAGATCCAAAATAATGTCCCATGATTTGTATTCTTTGTATTTAGGCTAGTTATTGGATTCCCCCAGGTTGTTGTTGTAAATGAGTGTTCCCAGTGAACTCATCTAATCTTAAACATAAAAGGTTACATGGGTACAAAAACAAACCGTATGGTTGGACTACTTGAGATGGAAACAGGGGCTGATACACCTCGGTTCAGCAAATTCAGCAGATAAATTGACAATGCTACGGAAAATATTTCATTTTATGCTGACTGTTAGGAATAGTTGCTTAGTTGGCCTCACGACCAGGACTTTCACCACGCTTATACAAGTGTTTTGTTGTTTTCTAATTGCTGAAGCGAGGAAAAGGAACCTGTAGAAGAGGAAATGGAGAGTGAGGAAGGGGACTCTGAAGGGGAAGCAGACCCCCGAGACGCCAGGCAGGATCTGGGGGGGTCGGCAGCATGGGGCCCAGGTGAGGAGTTGGGGGCACCAGCTCTCACGAAAGCCCAGGAGAGGGAACTGAGGAGAGTGAAAAATGTTGACCACAGCTGGCTCAGCAACCTCCTGGAATGTTAACCTTTACCAAGCCGAAACACACCACACACACCCTTTACCCAGTCATAGTTTTCCTATGGCTGTATTTTGATGTAATAAAATAGATTTCAATTTTGAAATGTGCCGTATCATGCTTATCGTTTCTGGCATATAACAGTCATAAATCTTTAAGTGTTTTCTAAACTCAGATTGTAATTTCTGCTCAGCATCAGACAGATTTTGTGCTTCAGTCTACACTCAGGCATTCTATCACTGGTAGACAACGCTACTTTTCTCTGGTAAAATGCTGGATTAACTTTAAGCAAAACATTAGGAAATGTAGCGGGCTACACTCCTTCTATGATAAACATTAGAAATATGATGGCCATGCATTGTTTTTTTTACAAAAAATACCTTTCTTTTTCATTGTAAGCTAATTTACTCGTGTGGCTGCCAGCCAAATAGTGTTGCACTTCTGCTGTTATCATTTTCTGACAAATGTGTGGCACTAATGTATTTTCTGTGAAGGAAAACTGTTGCACATCCCTGATCACTCTATTGATGACTTTCAATATAAAATGTGATCCCTGTCAATACACAGCTGGACTCACCTGCTCCCGCTTTCTCCCATTGTGCTATTTACAAACAAACACGTGACTGGCTCAACTGTTCTGGGGAACTACTGTAAGCTTCATAATGTGACAGGTGAAATTAAGAATGCAATCTGCTTTATCTCCTAACGTATTGCACAAGTTGACTGCAGGTATTTACTTAAAGTATCTACAAAAATAAAAATGTATTGAAAAACTTCAATGAAATAGTTTCAATAGTATTGGAAAAACCATCTCCTGGCTTTTTCCAAATATCCCGGTATACCGCCCAAGCCTATCATGCATTAGTGTTTATTATGCAGTGACTCACTTATCAAAAGTCCAACTAGTGCAATCAATGTTATTCATACACTGTGTCAAGGTTGCTGGCATACACACTCATGGATGTAATTGTAGTTCCTAGAGGTAGAATGAGCTCAAAGCCCTGACTAGGCAGTTAAAACAGACCAAATTACGTTTTTTTCTGTTCCTCAAGTTGACAAAGCGTGCGTCTGTCTGCCTCAGCGGTTTCTAACCGCGGCGCGTGTCACCCTGGGCTGTTCTGGCCAAGGTCCACCATGACTCGATCAGCCCCATGCGATGCATCTTCATTGCCACTACCTTCACCTGAGGTACAGCGGGTTCACCTGGAACCTACCATAAACTCCAGAGCGGGAGGGGGGGGGTGAAACTGGGTCACCCTCAGTTGGTTTCCCTATTGGCCCATAAGGATATGTTTAGTCAGTGAGGTATATTTTGTCTGTTAGTGACCCAATATCACCTGGGACTGTAAACCTGATTCCATTTAACCAAAATAGAAATCACTGAGGGTAGAAAGCCAGTCAAGTGTTCATAAGGTGCTAGGGGCAATAGGTCACTGTGCTCCTAATAAAAAATAAAAGTGTTAATTCAGCAGGAAATATTAAAAAATATCGGAACTATTAAGATTCTATTTTGCTAAAAGTATGTTCATGGTGTTTCTTTAAGAGCAGCGTGACAGTATCTGAGGAAACAAACGTATCTTCTGCGTGTCTGTTTTATCTGGAGTCTTAGTTCATTTAAGTAGACATTGAACTTCTTAAAGTGCACTTTTTCCCTTAAACCCTCAAGGCAAGGAGGAGCGTTTGTAACTGTTGGTAGGGTGTGTCAATATTATGTACCGGGCCTCTTGTAGAGCTTGTGAGCATTTGGGGGACAGGCGGCACTGACGCAAATCCAGAAAAGCCAGTTGACCTACTGGCCACACGAGTCTGTTCCGCCCAATCTGTCACACATGTTTGTGAAACCAGGTCACTCTTGGTCTTTTGCCCACAAGCACACAGGTCCAGATCATACAGCTCGGCTTAAAGTCAGTCAGTCCATTTAACACTGGCTGTCTGAAAGGGGCTTCTGGGACAAATTAGGGACTAACCCCTGTAGAATGTGAATCTGCACAGTGGCGGCCAGAGCTAGAGAGCTAGAGAACTGGGGACTAGGAACTCTGAGGGGCTTCTTAAAATGGCTGCCGTCTTCTTATACAGTACAATGACTTGGTTCCTGTGTTAACATGAAACACTAACGAGACAATGTAAAGACACTTTTTATTTCAGAGCTCATGCAATACAAGCCGTATAAACGTCCTCCACTTCAATGGAGTGTGATGTAATTCTTGCATACAAACATCTCAATTTACTCCAATGTTGCAAGCTGTGATTACATAATGATTTCACAATGTTTGTTTGTTTAAACAAAGATGGTCTAACAATGCTGTATTTAACAATGGGAGATTATGGACGGTACATTATGGTCTGTTGGAACGGTGTACTCATGATTTTCTTGGTTAATGCATTAGGGCTGGGAATTGCCAGGGACCTTACTTTACTTCGGTGCAAATACGATATGTATTGCGATTCTCATGATTTTATATGTATTGCGATTCGATATTGCGATTTGATGTTCCAAACATTTTACTCACTATATGTCTGCTGCAGAGAGACGAGAGCATGAGAAAACGAGTTTTGATCAGTCATGGAAATAAAAGTGCTGAAAACATGTTGGCTTACTATTTAAAAAGATGGAGAACCAGCTATAGATGAAAAATACCTGAGTTTTGGTGCAGGTACAGCCGACCAGCGCTAGCGAGCACTACCTACAGTAGCAAAAAAATACAAAATAATAATATTGCGATATGTAGCTCAACAACAACAAAATCCTATTATCACTATGCATGAGAGCATTGCTTTGTACACACGAGGCAGATACATTTCACAAATCGTTAAGAAAACATTTATTTGCTAATTGAGAAGTTAACACTTCTATAAAAACATTTAACAGAAAAAAAAAAGACATCCAACATTTAAAGACAACAATCTGACAATGTTCAACTACAATTTTGTTTTTACATCCAGTACAGTGTATCGAATAGTATATCAATTGACGTCTATTGTTATATGAAAAATATAAATTGCCTTGTATGAAGTACTCCTGAATAAATGTTCATAACAAATGCTCTGTTCTTTTCTGGAGAATGTGCTTACTTTACATTTGAGGGCTAACCTATGCCAAACATCAACATTGAGCTCAGTTCCTGGCATTTCTCTACAGAACACCAGCTGCAGTTCCACAAACCTGTAGTCCTGTCTGACTCTACATCTGCCTACAGGAGCCTTTAATATACCGCCCAGAGCTAAAGAAAGGCCCCACTGTTCTCTTAAAGTGCCGTGGCTATTCTCTGCACCAACCCTAATATTTTCTTTACCAAATCACCAAATCACCTAGGTCAGCCATGGTTTTCATGGGCAGAGGTAATAACCATAGTCTATTGTGAACGTGTGAGTATTACAGCGAGTCAAACCACATTTAAAAAATAAGGCTTCTGCAAGCCTTTAGTGGTGTTGGAGAGCTCCAAGAGCTACAAACTTACAGTTTTGCCTGGCTACCAGCTGGTTGTTGTACTGGCAGTCAGTGGCCAGCTGAGACAACCTGAAGATGCAGACATTCTACTCTGGCAAGTGAACACTGGGTGGGGAGGTCTGCTAGACTTAAGGGGGAAGAGGGGAAAATCTCAGGTTAACTTGGGAGGGATTTTGAAAGCCGCCCACAGGAAAAAGGTGGTACGGTTTTTCATGCTCACACCTGGTGTCTGGGTTTAGGATTGTGCTGTGTGTGGCAGAGGTTAGCGTAATGATGGCTCGGTATCATGGGCCCGCCAGGAAACGAAAAGTCCTTCAGTTAACTTCAAAGTGGGGAAGCAGGAGCTCAGCCTTGCACAAAATGCTGAAGCTGTGCCTGAAGGTCTTTTGTACTATGTCCATAATAACAAATCACTTAAAGTGCCTGTGTAACAATCATGATTAAAAATCACCTTGGAAGACATACAGTGCCTTCAGAAAGTATTCATACCCCTTGACTTATTCCACATGTTGTTACAGCCTGAATTCATATTATTTTTTATTTTGTTTAATTATCAGCCATCTACACAATACCCCATAATGACAAAATGAAAACATGTTTGTTTATTTTTGAAAATATATTGAAAATGAAATATCTAATTTACATAAGTATTCATACCCCTGTGTCAATACTTTGTAGAAGCACCTTTGGCAGCGATTCCAGCTGAGTTTTTCTAGGTAAGTCTCTAAGAGCTTTCCACACCTGGATTGTGCAACATTTTCCCATTTTTATTATTTTCAAAATTCTTCAAGCTCTATCAAATTGGTTGTTGGTAATTGCTAGACAACCATTTTCAGGTCTAGCCATTTGATTTAAGTACATTTAAGTCAACTGTAACTCAGCCACATTCACTGTCTTCTTGGTAAGCAATTCCAGTGTAGATCTAGCCTTGTGTTTTCGGTTATTGTTAAGGTGAATTCATCTCCCAGTGTATGTTGGAAAACAGAAAACCAGGTTTTCCACTATGATTTTGCCTGTGCTTAGCTCCATTCAGTTAATTTTTTTATCTTGAAAAACTCCCCAGTCCTTAACGATTACAAGCATTCCCATAACATGATGCAGCCACTACTATGCTTGAAAATATGGAGAGTGGTACTTTAATGTGTTGTATTGGATTTGCTCTAAACATAACACTGTTCAGGACAAAAAGTTAATTGCTTTGCCACATTTTTTGCAGTATTACTTTAGTGCCTTGTTGCAAACCGGATGCATGTTTTGGAATATTTGTATTCTGTACAGGCATCCTTTTCACTCTGTAGTTACTCCACAATACTAACATAATTGACAATGTTGATCCATCCTCAGTTTTCTCCTATCACAGCCATTAAACTCTGTAACTGTTTTAAAGTCACCATTGGACTCATGGTGAAATCCCTGAGCGGTTTCCTTTCTCTCCGGCAACTGAGTTAGGAAGGACACCTGTATCTTTGTAGTGACTGGGTGTATTGATACACCATCCAAAGTGTAATTAATAACTTCACCATGCTCAAAGGGATATTTTTTCCCATCTACCAATACGTGCCCTTCTTTGCGAGGCATTGGAAAACCTTGCTGGTCTTTGTGGTTGAGTCTGTTTTTGATATTCACTGCTCGACTGAGGGACCTTACAATTATCTGTATGTATGTATGGGGCACAGAGATTACTTAGTCATTCAAAAATCATGATAAACTCTTATTGCACACAGTCCATGCAACTTATGCGACTTGTTAAGCACATATTTACTCCTGAACTTATTTAGGCTTGCCATAAAGTAGTTGAATACTGACTGACTCGACATTTCAGCTTTTCATTTTTAATTTGTAAAAATGTCCAACATAATTCCACTTTGACATTATGGGGTATTGTGTGTAGGCTAAATTCAGGCTGTAACACACAAAATGTGGAAAACGTCAAGGGGTGTGAATACTTTCTGAAGGCACTATAGAAATCAATGATGACATAACGATATAACAATGTAAAATACTGGTAAAGAGACAATTGCGGGGGGGGGTAGAGATCTTAAGTGTACACAAGTGGTGTCTACAATAGCGTCAATGAGCCTATACAAGTTTCATTGTCACTTCACATCAAAAAATATTTGGAATGCTCAGACAGAAAACAACATGTAACAAACCGGTTTTCCCCTCACTTCCTTTAAGCTGTACAAGAAGGTCCACTTTGGTCATTGAGCACGTTAATGTGAATGCATAGTTTTCCAGCTGTTTGCTATAGCTAGTACATTTGCACCATCATGGGTGAGAGACAATAGTGATGATACATTGAGAATGTACAAAACATTAGGAATACCTTCCTAATATTGAGTTGCACCCGCTTTTGCCCTCAACAGCCTCAATTAGTCTGGGCATAGACTCAACAAAGTGGCGAAAGCGTTCCACAGGGATGCTGGCCCATGTTGACTCCAATGCTTCCTACAGTTGTGTCAAGTTGGCTGGATGTCCTTTGGGTGGTGGACCATTCTTGATACACACGAGAAACTGTTGAGTGTGAAAAACCCAGCAGCGTTGCAGTTCTTGACACACTCAAACCGGTGCACCTGGCATCTACTACAATACCCCGTTCAAAGGTACTTAAATATTTTGACTTGCCTATTCACCCTCTGCATGGCACACACACAATCCATGTCTCAATTATCTCAAGGCTTAAAATCCTTCTTTAACTTGTCCTCGAAGTGGATTTAAGAGGTGACACCAATAAGGATCATAACTTTCACCTGGTCAGTCTGTCATGGAACAGGTGTTCCTAATGTTTTGTACACTGTATATAGATAAACATAAGTATCTGCACACCTTGAATAAATAATTAGCATAACCATGTATTAAAGAGAAATAAGCAAGAACCTGTTTCTCACTGGTGAAACCGATAATCTAAAGCTGAAGTAATTGACGCTTCTGAAATGCTAACATGAATGTTTATAGCACCAATAAACTACTGAGAAACAAATGGCTTCAAAGTGGAAATAGGAATCCCACGGCTGATGCGGAGCTGTAATGAGATGCAAACAGCACTAGAGCCACAGCACATACTTGAGCAGTACGCTGCTGTAACCGTAGTAACTGCAAGCAGCAATACCTGCAATTTTCCACCCTAATTTAGCTTTTAAGCTGAATGCATGCATGTCTTGCATGACAAGAGCTACATTTCAATATTGGAAGGAGGGAAGTAGGGAGAAGTGATGGTTAATTTGTGACACTTAAGCCCTCAAACGTTCTGGGTTGTTTGTCTGAGAGGGGCTCCTCTATGTCTACGGCCGCACTGCGCTCCTCCATCGGCAAACGGCAAATGCTATCTACAATGGCAAAGGACAGCACATGCTAGGGTAAGTCGCAAAAGTAAATACATTAGCCCTGCGGGAGCTACAAGCATGTTTAGGTTGATGGCTAGGGGGCTGGAGGAGGAGGGGGCATTTGTGTGCACTGCAGGCGGAGCTGTAAGCAGGGAAATAGTCTCTTTAATGGATTAGACCGTGGTGGGAAGCGAGGAGGGAGAGTCCGGGAAGGCCTGAGTCTGCTGCTCTGGCGAGCAGCAGAGGAAGAGGCGCCGCCCGAGGCTCTTGAAGGCAAACCTGAAGTACATTATGTGGCCCATGGCCACAAAGGAGACGGAGAGGATGACGAGCAGTCCGAAGGCCTCTGGGTTGGGCGCCAGAATCACCATGATGAAATGCAGAAGGTCTAGGAGGTAGTTCATGGAGTTCTGGACGCCGTTGATCACTCCCCTCTCCGACTCGATCACATTCTCTTGGATGAGCTGGGTCACGGTTAAGTCAAAGGACCATAGACCTGCAGAGGGGAAGACAGCACAGCAGTAATTCAGAATGGCATTTTTACGGCTGCATAAATATGATATAGGAAAAGAATCAGAACGATGACTAATTATCAGATGATATTGGCATCAAAGGTTGCCAATATTTCTCTGTGGAGACATTAACACCGGATCTGGAGCCGACTTCCCTCCAAGTGGTGGCTGCTGCCTTATACCAGTGGGGAGGTCTCAATTTCTTAATTTTTCTTAATACATATTTCTAGCAACAACAGATTAACCAAATGTGGGGTCTGTGGAAGAAGTTTAGAGGGTGCAATACAATGTAGTATTATTAATCTACAATATACCCTTAGATGGATGGCCAGGGAGACTCACAGGGATCCACAGTACTCCATTTTCAACTCGGTACTTCTTGTATTCCCTAATATTTAAATTACAGTGCATACATGTTCAAAATGTTGTTTTGAACATGTATGCACTGTAATTTAAGCTTTAAAACTGCAAAACGTTCTTTCTGCCCCATGGCATAATGTGTGGAGTTGCAGGAAATGAGCAGCAAAATGTTCTCTCCCAGGGCCCGAGACTTGGTTAGTCCGGCCATGCACTGCAGCTGTCATAGTAAAACTCTTTGTATGCTATTTTTATCGCACTCTGAAGGCGAAGTTGTGTTCTGATTTTGAGGGGGTCCCTGACGAATTTGCTATCACGAAAGGGGTCCCCGCCCCCATAAAGTTTGGGAACCCCTGCCTTATACAACAAAGTTCATGCACTACGGAACGCTGTGACACATTGTTTTAGACCTTCCTCAAACAATTAATTTCTGTGCCAGCGTAACTGTTAACACATGACATAGTAGCACTCATTGAGTGCTTTTCCCAATGTGGACTTTCAAGTTACTCACCAATTCTAGCAGCAATGACCCCAGAAAACAGCAAGCTGACTGACAGGTAGGACTGCAAAGGCGGCAGTTCCTCGGTGGGCGGCACGGTCGAATCGTTGACCAGCAGACCCTGACCATCAATGGTTGGCACGCTAGCCGGATGGGCGGCCTCCGGGAGGGCGCTGCTCTCCCCAGTCAGGTGGCTGTAGATGTCCTGGAAGGGCGAGACACTGAGGTCGAAGGGGCTACCCGGTGCGAAGACTGACGCCACGCACAGCATTAGGCAGGAGAGCTGCACCACACCCGAGATGAAGCCTGTGCGGATCAGGCCACAGTTCTTTCGAACCCAGGTAAAGGCCACCGTGCCACAGATGCCCGACACAGCTGAGGCGCCCATCAGCAGGCTGAGCACAGAGCCGTTGAGGCCCTGCATGTAGGCGTAGCCTGTGGTAATGCAGTCAAAGCCCAGCACTGTCATGTAGAGGAAAGCCAGCGACATGCCAGCGAAGAAGATGGACTGGTTGTAGTAGGCCACCCAGCCGTCACGGATGGTGCGCAGGGGCTCCGCCATCTGGTAGCAGCAGCCAGTCTTCTTGGGAGAGTCGGCCTTGACGACAGCTGTCTCATTCATGAGCTGGGAGCTTTCCACTGGGCCATGGCCGTTCTCCAGCTCTGCAGACCAGAGAAGGAAGAGCAGATAGACATGAGTTTTGGGGCCACACGACTGTACACAGATCAGGGCCCGTATCCAAAATGTCTCAGTAGGAGGGCTGATCTAGGATCTGTCCATATATTATTACAGGCTGTTTTGAGGTTTGAATCCTAAGCAACCTGCATACACATTGTTTGAAGTAAAATAGACCAACATACAGTGCCTTGCAAAAGTATTCATCCCCCTTGCCGTTTTTCCTATTTTGTTGCATTACAACCTGTAATTTAAATTGATTTTTATTTGGATTTCATGTAAGGGACATACACAAAATAGTCCAAATTGGTGAAGTGAAAAGAATAACTTGTTTCAAAGAATTATAGAAAATAAATAACGGAAAAGTGGTACGTGCATATGTATTCACCCCCTTTGCTATGAAGCCCCTAAATAAGATCTGGTGCAACCAATTACCTTCAGAAGTCACATAATTACTTAAATAAAGTCCACCTGTGTGCAATCTAAATGTCACATGATCTCAGTATATACAGTGGGGGGAAAAAAGTATTGTCAGCCACCAATTGTGCAAGTTCTCCCACTTAAAAAGATGAGAGAGGCCTGTAATTTTCATCATAGGTACACGTCAACTATGACAGACAAAATGAGAAAAAAATAATCCAGAAAATCACATTGTAGGATTTTTTATGAATTTATTTGCAAATTATGGTGGAAAATAAGTATTTGGTCACCTACAAACAAGCAAGATTTCTGGCTCTCACAGACCTGTAACTTCTTCTTTAAGAGGCTCCTCTGTCCTCCACTCATTACCTGTATTAATGGCACCTGTTTGAACTTGTTATCAGTATAAAAGACACCTGTCCACAACCTCAAACAGTCACACTTCAAACTCCACTATGGCCAAGACCAAAGAGCTGTCAAAGGACACCAGAAACAAAATTGTAGACCTGCACCAGGCTGGGAAGACTGAATCTGCAATAGGTAAGCAGCTTGGTTTGAAGAAATCAACTGTGGGAGCAATTATTAGGAAATGGAAGACATACAAGACCACTGATAATCTCCCTCGATCTGGGGCTCCACGCAAGATCTCACCCCGTGGGGTCAAAATGATCACAAGAACGGTGAGCAAAAATCCCAGAACCACACGGGGGGACCTAGTGAATGACCTGCAGAGAGCTGGGACCAAAGTAACAAAGCCTACCATCAGTAACACACTACGCCGCCAGGGACTCAAATCCTGCAGCGCCAGATGTGTCCCCCTGCTTAAGCCAGTACATGTCCAGGCCCGTCTGAAGTTTGCTAGAGTGCATTTGGATGATCCAGAAGAGGATTGGGAGAATGTCATATGGTCAGATGAAACCAAAATATAACTTTTTGGTAAAAACTCAACTCGTCGTGTTTGGAGGACAAAGAATGCTGAGTTGCATCCAAAGAACACCTACCTACTGTGAAGCATGGGGGTGGAAACATCATGCTTTGGGGCTGTTTTTCTGCAAAGGGACCAGGACGACTGATCCGTGTAAAGGAAAGAATGAATGGGGCCATGTATCGTGATATTTTGAGTGAAAACCTCCTTCCATCAGCAAGGGCATTGAAGATGAAACGTGGCTGGGTCTTTCAGCATGACAATGATCCCAAACACACCGCCCGGGCAATGAAGGAGTGGCTTCGTAAGAAGCATTTCAAGGTCCTGGAGTGGCCTAGCCAGTCTCCAGATCTCAACCCCATAGAAAATCTTTGGAGGGAGTTGAAAGTCTGTGTTGCCCAGCGACAGCCCCAAAACATCATTGCTCTAGAGGAGATCTGCATGGAGGAATGGGCCAAAATACATTTACATTTACATTTTAGTCATTTAGCAGACGCTCTTATCCAGAGCGACTTACAGTTAGTGAATACATATATATTTTTATACTGGCCCCCCGTGGGAATCGAACCCACAACCCTGGCGTTGCAAACGCCATGCTCTATCAACTGAGCTACATCCCTGCCGGCCATTCCCTCCCCTACCCTGGACAACGCTGGGCCAATTGTGCGCCGCCCATGAGTCTCCCAGTCGCGGCCGGCTGCGACAGAGCCTGGATTCGAACCAGGATCTCTAGTGGCACAGTTAGCACTGCGATGCAGTGCCTTAGACCACAGCAACAGTGTGTGAAAACCTTGTGAAGACTTACAGAAAACGTTTGACCTGTGTCATTGCCAACAAAGGGTATATAACAAAGTATTGAGAAACTTTTGTTATTGACCAAATACTTATTTTCCACCATAATTTGCAAATAAATTCATAAAAAATCCTACAATGGGATTTTCTGGATTTTTTTTCCTCATTTTGTCTGTCATAGTTGACGGGTACCTATGATGAAAATTACAGGCCTCTCTCATCTTTTTAAGTGGGAGAACTTGCACAATTGGTGGCTGACTAAATACTTTTTCCCCCACTGTATATGCTGTTCAACATAGCTATCTTACTGTTTCTTAACAAAGCAACTTGTTTTCTTGGCTATGGTTTGTGTTGTGGTCTTGGTTGTTCTTAGTCGAGGAAATGTAGCATAGCTAACTCCAGTGTTTGTCCTGTCTGAAATCTGTCTACCTCGTCTTACCATAGCTTGGCCTATGGAGTAGCCTACTTAGCTAGTTTTGCAATGCCCATTGCATGCATTGTTAGGTAGGTAGCTAGCTTCCCCAAGTTTGGCATTGGCTTTGAACCTGCGTTGAACCTATTTAACTAACTTGCTATGTTTTGTGGAAGAATGTTTCTAGGATATATTATCAACATTGAGTTATGAAAAACTTTCTTGGCAAAATATAGCTAGCTTTTAGGCTTGGGTGTTATCCAGATTGTCATACCTTCATACCGACCTTGTGCCATACCTGGACATTCGGTAATACCTGCACTGAACACAAGGGCTGCTATTTTCAAATCCCACTGAGCCTTTGTAATCCGAAGGTTAGCAATGCTAACAACCACATGAAAAAATCCCATAGAGGGTGCTAACTAAATGCATTGCTAACATTTTATAGACTGACCTAAAGTATTTGCAGGACAGACATCCCAGCTCAAAGTTATACAAGTAACTCAAAAATCCTACAGTTTGCTGCACGCACAAAACAAATATTAGATGGCAAGGCTCTTGATCCAGGAGGGGATTCTGTGCTCTTACCAAGCGAAGCTTAATTTTGGAAGAAGCTAACCACTTAGCTAGATAGCAAATTTAATTTGCAAACCAAATGCACAACTGCAGAGCATTTAGCACATTTTAGACAGTTAACGTTATAAGATGTCTAGCTGGCAAACATTTAGCTGTGAATTCCATACTGTAACTAGATCACCTGACGCGTGCTACGTAAAGCTGTCCCAACAGCAATCCCAACACCTTACCACTGCTACACCTGGCTATCAGCGGAGCCATGTCTGGCAGTGACAGTTAATTTAGCCTCATTTACTGCCTTTAAAAAAAACATAGCTGATATGGCTTACTGGCTTTAACAAATGTGGTTTCTACTGACAATTGAGATGTACAAACTATGGCATCAGGGGACGATGAGCTGATGAGGCAATCCGTAATTTCGATTAAGACATTAATGAGCGAGCTAGGACGGACGTAGTCAATATAACTATTTGTTCAGCACTTTTGAAATGTACAGCGACAGAATTCAGAACATGGGCCGTTCTTACAGTATTCTCCCTGTACACCAAGTCAGAACTGTAGGATAAATAAAGGGGGCATATAAGCAGACATTGAAAGCTCTTACAATATTCGTTGATTACATCTCTAAAACAGGCTATAGGCTAAATGTGCACCACCAAGTTATAACAGTATGCTAAATTATGAGAGGAAAATTGACCAAATTATTAGGGTGAGGCACATGGGCTACTAACAGCTTACTACACAATATACACTTAGTATTACTTTCTTAGCTACAGTATGCATATCTCCCTGGCATATTACATCATTTATGCAGACGCATACAAGACATTTTTGGATTCACCTTGTTGTGCTGTGCTCACTTGAACAGGAAGGTGGCGCGGGTCGAATAATGAAGACATCAGTGATCTTCAGGTCGGAGCTCTAGAAAGAGGCCCGAGTTCCCGACTTGCAATTCTGAGTTGGATGACCATTCAAAACATATTTTCCCAGGCGGAGCTCGTTTTTATCCTAGTTCCCAGTTGTCTTGAACTCACTGAAGTCTGAGATTTCCCATTTCTGAGATTGCAGTTGTTTTGAGTGCAGCAAAAGTCATACTGGATTGACAACATGGCTAATGTTGAATGTTTATCCTTTTAAGCTTGGAAAAGAGACCCTTAAACCCAGATTTGGACCACACACCCACTCCACTGAATAGCAGGCTAGTGATTGCTTTGCAATGCTTGCAGTTAGCCACTGATTCCTTCCAAACCACTCATTGTTGAATTTGCGATTTCCAACTTGTTGTGTAATGTATATGTCTAATGGCCGATGAGCACCGATACGTTTTTCTATAATTTCTCTTCATATGACAAGGATTGAAAAGGATTTGCCAGTAGATTGTCGACTTGATTCATGATGATGACTGCTAGCTTGCTAGATAAGATGTTGAAAGTATGATGTTGACATGATCAGTCCAATCAAAGCTACTGTAGCTATAACGTGATTTGACGTTGTTTTATCTGTGGCCAATGACCTTGAGCCTTCTTGGATGGGCACTTCTAATGTAACTATGGAAGCACCAAAGGGGCTTGAATTTTCGAGCTCTACCCGTAGATTTTGCGGTGACATAGTGTCCCCATGAGTGACAGAACACTGAGCCAATCATGCTGCAACTAGAGAACATTACCAACCCCTACGCTCTGTATTTTCCGCTGGCTGCCCCATCACCACAGAAAGCATTGAGCTAGGCTGAAACACCTGCATTTTGGAGCTGCCTTACTCAAGAAAGCCAAAAATAGACGTAATTTTTTTTAGCTAAACAGGTGGGGCTCTGAATGACGGGTCGCCACTGGGAGAAATGAAGAACGCAATCTTTTTTATCTCTTAACGTATTGCACAACTTGACTGCAGGTATTTACTTAAAGTAGCTATAAATATTCAAATGTATTAAACTTCAAATAAATAGTTGACGGTATTGAACAACTATCCCGTGGCTATTTCCAAATACCCAGATATATGATATACCGCCCAAGCCCACTAGCTTTCCTCGCTTCATGGTTAGCTACCTAGCCAACGTTAGCTCTCATCTGACTAGTATAACGTTATGTTTGCTAGCTGGCTAGATAGCGATGTTAGCTAGCTACTAAAAAAAATATTAATTGGCTAGCAACCTTTCTTTACCTGGTTGTTGTCTAGCTAGCGTTCAGCTGACTGGTGTTAGCTAGCTACAGAGGCTAGCTGCTGGACTTTGGACAAGCAACAACCTAATGTTAGCTAACGTTAGCTAGCTAGCTAATCAAAATATCTGTTTGCATTTATTGATTAACCTCAACTTGAATACCACCATATAGCTAGCCATCTACAGTAGCCTAGGTTTGTTCACATACACTTATGATTGGCAGCCTGGTGCAAGCAGCTGTGTTGTTGCCGAGCAACAGACCAGGTGTTAGAACTCTGAGCTTCGGCTAAAAAAATGTTAGCGTTGTCAGAAATGCTACAAAATGGTAGCACATCGTTGGTTCTTAAAATGGACAGAAATGTGCACGTGAAAGCGATAAATTATAAATGTAATCAAAACTGTTGCCCCTACAAACATATTCTGTCCGAAAGGTGGCAAGTCTAATGACCACTTTATGGACGCTGTAGTCTCGTTCTTATCCGACGCCTAGATAGATATTGAGCTTGGTCGGGGCAAGAAATAGTATTTTTTCCCTAATGCTAACGACCCGGTTTGTGGTTCTCGGTAACGACCGGACAGCTCATGACAAGAGGCGGGGGTTGTGTTTTGTAGACATTGGTGTCACATTGGCTTAGATATGATGGTAGGGAGATTTGAGTTTAATATTGAGCTTCAATCAAGACTATAATTCATTATGATCTATAAGGCAAAACTGATCCTAGCTCAGCACTACTACACTGTGACGCTTTGTGGATACAGGCCCAGATCTCAGCATTTAGTCTTTCTTTAAGGGAGGGCCACCTCAACAACATATTTATATTTGGTTGACAAAGCAATTACAAGAACACTGATGTTAAGACATGATATCTATCAGCGATGTTCATTGATATTTCAGAGAACTGGAGGGCTAGAACATACCTTTCGGGGAGTTCAGTCGTTTCAGTTCCTGGTAGTCTTCTTTCTTGCCAGCCTTCATGGCCAGTGCTGGAATTTTCTGGTAGACTTTCCACAGCAGACAGTACTCCAGGCACATAGAACACAAGTTCCAGCCGACGATGAAGCCGCAGCCAATTAAGTTGGAGCAGAAAGTCATGATCTGGCCCACCAACATAGGTGCCAGGATGTTTGTTAGCTGGTCGATGATCCGCACTGTGGCATTCATGTCTATTGAAGAAGCACAGAATTATTTTATTGTCCATTGTCCACAGGAAACAAATTCATATGACAGGGATTTTTATAGATTTCATGAAGGTTATACAGTGCTGCAATGCACTTCAGGTTACTTTACTTCACTGGTGCAGATAAGCAAACTGTAGCACATAGCTCTGGTCATTTGTGAACCGTGGGTCTTTATGGCTTGTGAAACAATTCCTTTGAGATTAGCTGTTCGGAAGTGTTGCATTTCTACTGTGTTAAAATCTGTTTGATAGCATTGGTGAACCAAGGTGAAACCGGGGCAGTTATAAAATAACAATTAGTGATTTAGCTTTGATTGGGTTCAAAGTCACGCCACTGCAAGGAGATAAAGGCCCGGTCACATGAGCCCTATTGATTTGGGCTGGTTTCCCATGGAGACTGACCTGCCAGCTTGCTGCTGTCCTGTCCAGCCACAACCACCACCCAGTCTCGCTGGATGGTAATGGACATGGCAGTACTGGCCAAGTTAGCAATATTGGCTATGGAGATGACCAAGATATAGCAGCATGTCTGAAAACCAAGAAAACAATACATTATTGTTCGCTTAGGTAAAAATTGAAACATACAAGTTTACTTTATAAATGTACTTTTGAAAAATCTAAACATTTACATTTGACATTTTAGTCATTTAGCAGACACAGTTTGTGCGTGTATACATTTTTCATACTGGCCCCCCATGGGAAACGAACCCACAACCCTGGCGTTGCAAAGCGCCATGCTCTACCAACTAAGCTACAGGGGACATGGACAAAGTTTCCAGTGTGATATTTTTGGCCTCAACATGTGATCTTACTTTTTTTTTTTTTTTTTTGTTAACCTTTGTTTTAACAGGGTGTCACATTGAGACAAAGTCTCTTTCAAATGAGCCCTGCGCAATACAAAACACACACTTGAATACAAAATATTAAATGACAAAACATGATCATAAAAAACAAACTATCTTCACTTAGAACATCCTAAAGGGCATTCAAGCCTCCCCTGCAACATATTCCACATCTGTGCAGCATAAAAACTATAAGTATCTCTCCGTAAATAAGAAGCCACCTTTGGAACCTCTAGCACTATGCAATCTTGTGCTCTTGTACTGCATTTGATTGTTTTGACATTGATTAGTGTTGTCAGATACATTGGAAGTTTCTACACGAGCGCTTTGCAAATAAACAAAAAGGGAATGCTGCTCTCTTCTTACATACAGAGGCCCAACCCACCTTTTGATACAATACATAATGGTGAGTTCTAAAATTATCACCTGTAATGAATCTAAGGTTACAATGGAAAACAGCATCTAGAGATTTAAGTGTGGAAGCTGCTGTGTGCATGTAGATTATATCCCTGTAATCTAAAACAGACATAAATGGCCTGGACAACTTCCTTTCTATTATCAAAAGACTACACATGCTCTATTTCTGTAAAATTATCCAAATTTGATCTTCAATTTATTTACCAGCTCAGTAACATGTGATTTAAAACACCAACTTATCATCTAGCCAGATACCAAGATATTTATAAGACTGAACTCGTTCAATTTGTGTTCCGTTCAAATCAAATTTTATTGGTCACATGCGCCGAAAACAACAGGTGTAGACCTTACCGTGAAATGCTTACTTGCAAGCCCTTAACCAACAATGCAATTCAAGAAATAGAGTTAAGAAAATATTTACTTAATAAACTAAATAAAACATTAATTAAAAAGGTAACACAAAATAACAATATTGAGGCTATATACAGGGGGTACCGGTACCGAGTCAATGTGCGGGGGTACAGGTTAGTTGAGGTAATTTGTACATGTAGGTAGGGGTAAAGTGACTATACATAGATAATAAACAGCGAGTAGCGGGGGGTCAATGTAAATAGTCTAGGTAGCCATTTGATTAGATGTTCAGGAGTCTTATGGCTTGGGGGTAGAAGCTGTTTAGAAGCCTCTTGGACCTAGACTTGGCGCTCCGGTACCGCTTGCCGTGCGGTAGCAGAGAGAACAGTCTAGGGTGGCTGGAGTCTTTGACAATTTCTAGGGCCTTCCTCTGACACCGCCTGGTATAGAGGTCCTGGATGGTAGGAAGCTTGGCCCCAGTGATGTACTGGGCCGTACGCACTACCCTCTGTAGTGCCTTGCGGTCAGAGGCCGAGCAGTTACCATACCAGGCAGTGATGCAACCAGTCAGGATGCTCTCGATGGTGCAGCTGTAGAACCTTTTTGAGGATCTGAGGACCCATGCCAAATATTTTCAGTCTCCTTAGTGGGAATAGGTTTTGTCGTGCCCTCTTCACGACTGTCTTGGTGTGCTTGGACCATGTTAGTTTGTTGGTGATGTGGACACCAAGGAACTTGAAGCTCTCAACCTGCTCCACTACAGCCCTGTCGATGAGAATGGGGGCGTGCACGGCCCTCATATTTTTCCTGTAGTACACAATCTCCTTTGTCTTGATCACGTTGAGGGAGAGGTTGTTGTCCTGGCACCACACGGCCAGGTCTCTGACCTCCTCCCTATAGGCTGTGTCGTCGTTGTCGGTGATCAGGCCTACCACTTGTGTCATCGGCAAACTTAATGATGGTGTTGGAGTCGTGCCTGGCCATGCAGTCATGAGTGAAAAGGGAGTACAGGAGGGGACTGAGCACGCACCCCTGAGGGGCCTCCGTGTTGAGGATCAGCGTGGCGGATGTGTTGTTACCTACCCTTACCACCTGGGGGCGGCCCGTCAGGAAGTCCAGGATCCAGTTGCAGAGGGAGGTGTTTAGTCCCAGGGTCCTTAGCTTAGTGATGACCTTTGAAGGCACTATGGTGTTGAACGCTGAGCTGTAGTCAATGAATAACATTCTCACATAGGTGTTCCTTTTTTCCAGGTGTGAAAGGGCAGTGTGGAGCGCAATAGAGATTGCATCTTCTGTGGATCTGTTGGGGCGGTATGCAAATTGGAGTGGGTCTAGGGTTTCTGGGATAATGGTGTTGATGTGAGCCATGACCAGCCTTTCAAAGCACTTCATGGCTATAGTTGTGAGTGCTAAGGGTCGGTAGTCATTTAGGCAGGTTACCTTAGTGTTCTTGGGCACAGGGACTATGGTGGTCTGCTTGAAACATGTTCGTATTACAGACTCCGATAGGGAGAGGTTGAAAATGTCAGTGAAGACACTTGCCAGTTGGTCAGCGCATGCTCGGAGTACACGTCCTGGTAATCCGTATGGCCCTGCGGCCTTGTGAATGTTGACCTGTTTAATGTCTTACTCACATCGGCTACGGAGAGCGTGATCACACAGTCGTCCGGAACAGCTGATGCTCTCATGCATGTTTCAGTGTTACTTGCCTCGAAGCGAGCATAGAAGTAATTTAGCTTGTCTGGTAGGCTTGTGTCACTGGGCAGCTCGCGGCTGTGCTTCCCTTTGTAGTCTGTAATAGTTTGCAAGCCCTGCCACATCCAACGAGCATCGGAGCCGGTGTAGTACGATTCGATCTTAGTCCTGTATTGACGCTTTGCCTGTTTGATGGTTCGTCGGAGGGCATAGCAGGATTTCTTGAAAGCGGCAGCTCTACCCTTTAGCTCAGTGTGGATGTTGCCTGTAATCCATGGCTTCCTGTTGGGGTATGTACGTACAGTCACTGTGGGGACAACGTCATCGATGCACTTATTGATGAAGCCAGTGACTGATGTGGTGTACTCCTTAATGCCATCGGAAGAATCCTGGAACATATTCCAGTCTGTGCTAGCAAAACAGTCCTGTAGCTTAGCATCTGCTTCATCTGACCACTTTTTTATTGACCGAGTCACTGGTGCTTCCTGCTTTAGTTTTTGCTTGTAAGCAGGAATCAGGAGGATATAATTATGGTCAGATTTGCCAAATGGAGGGCGAGGGAGAGCTTTGTGTACGCGTCTCTGTGTGTGGAGTAAAGGTGGTCTAGAGTTTTTTCCCCCTCTGGTTGCACATTTAACATGCTGGTAGAAATGAGGTAAAACTGATTTAAGTTTTCCTGCATTAAAGTCCCCGGCCACTAGGAGCGCCGCCTCGATGAGCGTTTTCCTTATGGCCGTATACAGTTCATTGAGTGTGGTCTTAGTGCCAGCATCGGTTTGTGGTGGTAAATAGACAGCTACGAAGATTATAGATGATAGTGTGGTCTACAGCTTATCATGAGATACTCTACCTCAGGCTAATAAAACCTTGAGACTTCCTTAGATATCGTGCACCAGCTGTTGTTTACAAATATACATAGACCGCCACCCCTTGTCTTACCAGAGGCTGCTATTCTATCCTGCCGATACAGTGTATAACTCGCCAGCTGTATGTTATTCATGTCGTCGTTCAGCCACAACTCGGTGAAACATAAGATATTACAGTTTTGAATGTCCCGTTGGTAGGATATTCGTGCCTGTATTTCATCCACTTTATTATCAAGCGATTGTAAATTGGCCAATAGTATCGATGGCAAAGGCAGATTAGCCACTCGTCGCCGGCTCCTTACCAAGCACCCCGATCTCCTTCCGCGATATATCCTTTTCTTTCTACTGCGAATGACGGGATGAGGGCCCTGTCGGGTGTCTGGAGCAAATCCCTCTCGTCCGACTTATTAAAGAAAGATTATTCGTCCAGTTCAAGGTGAGTAATCGCTGTTCTGATGTCCAGAAGCTATTTTCGGTCATAAGAGACGGTAGCAGCAACATTATATAAAAAAATAAGTTACAAACAATGCGAAAAAACACACAAAATAGCACGGTTGGTTAAGAGACCATAAAAACGGCAGCCATCCCCTCCGGGGCCATCTTGGGCACAGGGACTATGGTGGTCTGCTTGAAACATGTACAGTGCCTTGCAAAATTATTCATCCCCCTTGGCGTTTTTCCTATTTTGGTGCATTACAACCTGTAATTTAAATTGATTTTTATTTGGATTTCATGTAATGGACATACACAAAATAGTCCAAATTGGTGAAGTGAAATGAAAAAAATAACTTGTTTCAAAAAATTCTAAAAAATAAATTACTCAAAAGTGGTGCGTGCATATGTATTCACCCCCTTTGCTATGAAACCCCTAAATAAGATCTGGTGCAACCAATTACCTTCAGAAGTCACATAATTAGTTAAATAAAGTCCACCTGTGTGCAATCTAAGTGTCACATGATCTGTCAGATGATCTCAGTATATATACACACCTGATCTGAAAGGTCTCAGAGTCTACAACTCCACTAAGCAAGGGGCACCACCAAGCAAGCGGCACCATGAAGACCAAGGCGCGCTCCAAACAGGTCAGGGACAAAGTTGTGGAGAAGTACAGAACAGGCTTGGGTTATAAAAAAATATCAGAAACTTTGAACATCCCACGGAGCACCATTTAAATCCATTATTTAAAAAATGGAAAGAATATGGCACCACAACCAACCTGCCAAGAGAGGGCCGCCCACCAAAACTCACGGACCAGGCAAGGAGGGCATTAATCAAAGAGGCAACAAAGAAACCAAAGATAACCCTGAAGGAGCTGCAAAGCTCCACAGCGGAGATTGGAGTATCTGTCCATAGGACCACTAAGCCGTACACTCCACAGAGCTGGGCTTTACGGAAGAGTGGCCAGAAAAAATCCATTGCTTAAAGAAAAAAATAAGCAAACACGTTTGGTGTTCGCCAAAAGCCATGTGGGAGACTCCCCAAACATATGGAAGAAGGTACTCTGGTCAGATGAGACAAATTGAGCTTTTTGGCCATCAAGGAAAACGCTATGTCTGGCGCAAACCCAACACCTCTCATCACCCCGAGAACACCATCCCCACAGTGAAGCATGGTGGTGGCAGCATCATGCTGTAGGGATGTTTTTCCATCGGCAGGGACTGGGAAACTGGTCAGAATTGAAGGATGGCGCTAAATACAGGGAAATTCTTGAGGGAAACCTGTTTCTTTCTTCCAGAGATTTGAGACTGGGACGGAGATTCACCTTCCAGCAGGACAATGACCCTAAGCATACTGCCAAAGCAACACTTGAGTGGTTTAAGGGGAAACATTTAAATGTCTTGGAATGGCCTAGTCAATGCCCAGACCTCAATCCAATTGAGAATCTGTGGTATGACTTAAAGATTGCTGTACACCAGCGGAACCCATCCATCTTGAAGGAGCTAGAGCAGTTTTGCCTTGAATAATGGGCAAAAATCCCAGTGGCTAGATGTGCCAAGCTTATAGAGACATACCCCAAGAGACTTGCAGCTGTAATTGCTGCAAAAGGTGGCTCTACAAAGTATTGACTTTGGGGGGGTGAATAGTTATGCACGCTCAAGTTCAGTTTTTATTTTCTTATTTCTTGTTTGTTTCACAATAAAACATATTTTGCATCTTCAAAGTGGTAGGCATGTTGTGTAAATCAAATGATACAAACCCCCCCAAAATCCATTTTAATTCCAGGTTGTAAGGCAACAAAATAGGAAAAATGCCAAGGGTGGTGAATACTTTCGCAAGCCACTGTAGGTATTACAGACTCGGGCAGGGAGAGTTTGAAATGTCAGTTAAGACACTTGCCAGTTGGTCCACGCATGCTCGGAGTACACGTCCTGGTAATCCGTCTGGCCCCGCGTCCTTGTGAATGTTGACCTGTTTAAAGGTCTTGCTCACATCGGCTACAGAGAGCTTGATCACACAGTCGTCAGGAACAGCTGGTGCTCTCATGCATGCTTCAGTGTTGCTTGCCTCGAAGCGAGCAGAAAAGGCATTTAGCTCATCTGGTAGGCCCGCGTCCCTTTGTAGTCCGTACTAGTTTGCAAGCCCTGCAACATCCGACGAGCATCAGAGCCTGTATAGTAGGATTCAATCTTAGTCCTGTATTGACGCTTTGCCTGTTTGATGGTTCGTCTGAGGGCATAGCGGGATTTCTTATAAACGTCCGGATTAGTGTCCCGCTCCTTGAAAGCACCTAGCCTTTAGCTCGGTGCGGATATTGCCTGTAATCCATGGCTTCTGGTTGGGATATGTACGTATGGTCACTGTGGGGACGACGCCGTCGATGCACTTACTGATGAAGCCGGTGACTGAGGTGGTATACTCCTCAATGCCATTGGATGAATCCCGGAACATATTCCAGTCTGTGCTAGCAAAACAGTCCTGTAGCGTAGCATCTGCGTCATCTGACCACTTCCGTATTGAGCGAGTCACTGGTCCTTCCTGCTTTAGTTTTGCTTGTAAGCAGGAATCAGGAGGATAGAATTATGGTCAGATTTCCCAAATGGGAGGGCGAGGGAGAGCTTTGTATGCATCTCTGTGTGTGGAGTAAAGTTGGTCTAGAGTTTTTTTTTTTTCCTCTGGTTGCACGTGAAGACATTAGGTAAAACTGATTTAAGTTTGCCTGCATTAAAGTCCCTGGCCACTAGGAGCGCCGCTTCTGGATGAGCATTTTGTTTGCTTATGGCCTTATACAGCTCAGGTCTTAGTGCCAGCATCGGTTTGTGGTGGTAAATAGACTGCTACGAAAAATATAGATAAACTCTCTCGGTAGATAGTGTGGGTTTGTACTTTCAGGCTAGTACTTTCAAGGCCACTTAACTCTAAGTTATGGGACCTAGAAAATAGCATGTATTTTGTTTTGTTTGCATTAAGTACTAACTTAAGATCCAAGAGTGACTTCTGTAGCGCTTGGAAATCAGACTGCAAATGTGAAAAGGCTTGGTTTACAGATGGTGCAATAGAGTACAATACTGTATCATCAGCATAAAAATGTATATTACAATTTTTCACAGTATTTCCAATGTCATTTATATACATTTACATTTTAGTCATTTAGCAGACGCTCTTATCCAGAGCGACTTACAGTTAGTGAGTGCATACATTTTCATACTGGCCCCCCGTGGGAAACGAACCCACAACCCTGGCATTGCAAGCGCCATGCTCTACCAACAGAGCTACAGGGGACTTCTACAGTGTCCCCAAAATCGAACCCTGGGGTACCCCTTTATGCACTTCAAGGAATTCAGATTTGAACCCCTCTGTCACAATAGCCTGAGTTCTATTACTGAGAGAGTTCTGAAACCACATACAGGCTTCCGTGCCCAGGCCTTGTTCAATAAAATAAAATGATCAACTATGTTAAAAGCCTTTGACAAGTCCACAAACAAGGCAGCACAATTAATTTTGGCATCTAAAACATTGACAATATAATGTACAACTAATGTGGTTGCAGTAATAGTACTGTGCCCTGGTCTAAACCCCAATTTATGTACATTCAGAATACAATTCTCAGATAAAAAGGAACAAAGTTGTACATTTACCAAAGATTCAAGAATCTTAGCTAGACAAGAAAGCCTAGAAATGGGACAATAATTTTCAAGAACACTAGTGTTCCCACCCTTATGGAGCAGCAGCACATAAGCAGCCTTCCATACTTTTGGAATATTTCCCGATATCAATATTACAATTTGAAATGTGGGTTATTGAGCCAGCGATGAGGGGAGCTGCGCAGTTAAGCAGACCCAGCTCAAGTTTGTCGGCCCCTGTGGACTTCTTCGTGTCTATATCTAGCACTTACACTCAACAACAACAAGGAAAAACTACTGTATTGTTCAGCTTAGCATATTATTTCATCTAGAAACCGCTAACACTACAATGCTTGACAGCCATCAGCCAGTGTGAGAGTGAAACAAACATGCCTGCTGTTTTGTTTGTTTTTTGTTGTGTATTTATGGTTGCAGCTGTTCTGGCCAGAGGAATACAGATGGATTGACTCAACTGGTAAGGCAGCATTTCTAGACCTCACATGACAGCCCTAGAAGAACCTGCTGACTACACAGTCATGAACAAGACACTCAATCTCCTGTTTCGCCCCCATCTCCAGAAGCACACAAATACCAGACAACTTACAGCAACCCCCTACCCCCTCTCTCAAAAACCATGGCCCCTTCACAAAAAACATGATTTGTCCCACAATACACCACGTGAGAGACACTTTGTTCATGATCCTGATAGTGTAGCAGCCAGCAGATTGTAACACTCGCTATTGCAACAGTCTTCTTTTATTAACAAAAAACAAGGCACAGGGTTTCTTCCATGGGACAAAGTCTTGCTGTGCAATGTAAATTAATTCTGCTAATTTGGACCCGATCTACACATTCAACCAAAAGAACAAGCCCCTTCAAGAAGCCAAACATGTTTCCTGGCAAACCCTTGTGTAATCTTAAGAATCAAACAAGTTTCTCTTGATTGCTACTCAGGCAAGACACTGTCCAAGGCCTGCTGTTTCAAATGTGAGGTAATTGAGTGAACTTGAGATCTCAGTGTAAAATACTGGTGTAGCTAATTTCAAAGCCAAAGTGAAGAACACTTTCAGACATTCTTCAATGTGTAGCCTAGGCTACTGTCCAGAGGCTGAATTTATATGTAAAGGTTGTTTTAAATTATGGATTTTACATCATATTAGACAATGATGTAAATGCTTCTGCTGCAAATAACCATTCAATTATAAGTTTAAAATGATAGTATGAGAAAGTCGAGGCAATGGAATCTTACCAGAACCCATCCATTATATAACTCTGCAAGCTGTTCTTTGAACTGGAAAATCACCATCAAGAGGATCCCACACAGTATGACGGCACAGTTCTGGACAACCAGTGAAGTCTGGGCCACTATCAAATTAGAGGACAAGCATTAGAGATGTGGGGTTGGTCATAAACAATTGATTTCTGTCTGAGTAAATCACTTAATTGGAGATTTCCCCCAAGACGCATAGAGTTATTTTAATGGTCTCGAATAGAGATTTATGCCAATTTCCATTCAATTAACACATTCCCAAAAAATTCTAATCCCAAAGAAAATGTACAATTTACTAATGTTTTGAGACTATGTATATTGCTTATTCATGTATTCAGTTCTGTTCAGAAACACTAACTGTAGAGTAGGCCTACTTATGGCTGCATACCTTTGAGTCTGGGGTTTTTATCCACCCAGTCACCGATAATGGCTCCAAGCAGCAGGACTGACCCTGCCACCACCAGTCCGTACACGGCCGTGAGCAGGAGGCTGTTGCCATACAGCCCCACCAGAAATACAGCTACAGCGAAATTCCACATACGATCTCCCTACAAATACATGCATGTTACATTGTTGTTTCAATCAGCAGCCTGGTCTCATAGACTAGACGTAACATAGTAAATGTAAATCTGGCACAATAAAATGTGTACGATATGTTACGTTTGGTATGGTTACATAAGACAGATGGTTACTTAAGGCAAAAACAAAAGTAGGGTTGATGGGTGGGCGTATAACGTGAACATCTAGCAACCCAAAGGTTGTAAGTTAGAATCTCATAACGGACAACTTTTGCATTTTAGCAACTTTTCAACTACTTACTACTTTTTAGTTACTTTCCAACTACTTAGCATGTTAGCTAACCCTAACCCTTTTAGCTAACCCTTCCCCTAACCTAACTCCTAAACTTAACTCTAACCTTAACCCCTAGCCTAGCTAACGTTAACCACCTAGCTAGAATTCGTAACATATCATATGTTTTCCAAATGCGTACCACATAGTATGTTTGGCAAATTTGTAACAAATGTTTCCCATTCGTAATTAATACATACCATACGAAACGTAACATATTATATTAAATGGAGTGTCTTGGTTTTACTTACAGAATAATAAGAAATGCTCTGAGAACAGGTTGCAACCAGCTGTTAAAATGTACTGCACACTAGGCTACAGTAGATGGATGATGCTTGCAGAAACATGATCCTAGTCTACTATCGAGCCTATATAAAGCAATCCCGTATCCTGTATAAATTAATAATGGTCTACTTTCAAGGACTGTACACAAAAGAAACATGATCTAAATAAATGCAATCACCTGATTTAGAAATACCATGACAGAACAAATATTGTAAAGACCATTGCACATTATATGGAACCATCCATGTGTCCACTGATGTGCGATTGGACTTTATCGATGTTTTTTTTCAAGTAAGGGATGGGAAATAGCCTATATATCCCATACGTGTGTCCCTATTCTAAAACATAAATAAGCTATAAGATTTTGTCAAATGACCCTCCACCTATGATGAGCAATTAGGGTGATAGCCTACCTACACCTTCTTTTACTGTAGTGGTTTACAATGGTTGTGATATTTTGTATTGGCTACTTTTGATTCACTTACCCATGTCGAGAGGGCATGTCCCAGGTAAATAAGGAACTTTGGTGATGTAAAGAACGATTGGACTGATTCTGCAAGAGAAAGGATGTTTACGATTCGTTATTGATATCGGAACACCTGTGGTCAATACTACAATAGATCGGCAGTTATCAACACTTGATCAAATATTCCATTCGAATGAGTCCTTGTAAAAGCACTGAAAACATAACATTGACCTACCACAGCAACGTTTCTTAGGTCCCGCGTTATCCATTTGTAATATTTTCCTCAAAATAATTAAGTCAATATTTATTTCCCTTTGTACAGGCGATCCTCTGTGCATAGAATTTTCGATAAACGCACGCCAAAGCTACCCTTTCTCCTTTCCAAACTTAGCTATCACTGTAGCTGAAGTTGGAAAGATATATATTTACCGAAAAGCCTTGTTAGTTCAAATGCAAAACAATAACATCTCCTGGACGGCTCCAGCAGCCTTCTGTCGTCTTTTCTGCACTGCCAACAGTGGTTTTGTCCCCGCACTCCCCTGTCAATATACCTACAGCAGAGATATTAGAGAAAGGAGGAGATAGGAATCACTGGGTAAAGAATGCACACCAGCAGAATGTCGACCAATCGCGTTCACGTTGTCATGCTGCGTCACGCGATTGCTAAACTAATCGTCACGCAATCCCTTCTCAGAGTGAGCGTATGAGTCGAGAAACGTGCCTATTTTCCTCAATTTCCTAATGTCACGATTCCAAAGCTGTATAATATTACAGATAGCAAATAACTTATCTCACGTCTTGGAAAATACTTGTAATGTTGTACTTCATGTTGACGAAATTCATGCGTTTGGTTTTTTGAGCTAGCGACCAATTGACTCCCATTCAATCCTTGAAGGAGAGCTCTCCTTGTCCCAGAGTCGGCCAGAATGCATCGCCCATTGCCGTAGCATGGGCAACGTACACAATAGGCGGTAATACGATTCTATATAAGGTCCCACAGTTGACAGTGCATGTCAGAGCAAAAACCAAGCCATGAGGTCGAAGGAATTGTCCGTAGAGCTCCAAGACAGGATTGTGTCGAGGCACAGATCTGTGGAAGGGTACCAAAACACGTCTGCAGCATTTAAGGTGCCCAAGAACACAGTGAACTCTAACATTCTTAAATTGAAGAAGTTTGGAACCACCAAGACTCCTTGGCCTGAATGCCAAGCGTCACGTCTGGAGGAAACCTGGCACCATCCCTACGGTGAAGAATGGTGGTGGCAGTATCATGCTGTGGGGATGTTCTTCAGGGCAGGGACTGGGAGACTAATCAGGATCGAGGGAAAGATTAACTGAGCAAAGTACAGACAGATCCTTGATGAAAACCTGCTCCAGGACCTCAGACTGGGGCGAAGGTTCACCTTCCAACAGGACAACAACCCTAAGCACACAACCAAGACAACGCAGGAGTGGCTTCGGGACAAGTCTCTGAATGTCCTTGAGTGGCGGACTTGAACCCGATCGAACATCTCTGGAGAGACCTGAAAATAGCTGTGCAGCGACACTCCCCATCCAATCTGACAGAGCTTGAGAGGATCTGCAGAGAAGAAAGGGAGAAACTCCGCAAATACAGGTGTGCCAAGCTTGTAGCGTCATACCCAAGAAGACTTGAGGCTGTAATCGCTGCCAAAGGTGCTTCAACAAAGTACTGAGTAAAGGGTCTGAATACTTATGTACTATGATATTTATTTAATATTTTATTTTTGCTAACATTTCTAAAACATTGTTTTTGCTGTGTCATTATGGGGTATTGTGTGTAGATTGATTAGGGGAAAAAACGATTTAATCAATTTTAGAATAAGTTTGTAACGTAACAAAATGTGGAAAAAGCCAAGGGGTCTGAATACTTTCCGAATGCACTGTAGATCTGCATTTACAAAATGCAACAAGATACTGTATTTCTTATGCGTTTTATCATTTTTTCTGCTGAACAACGCCCTGAGTGGCATAGACAGCACCCACATTAATGCCAATAACACTATCACGTTTTGTAAAGGCAAACTGTCACAAATTGATGATTTAGTCAAGATTATATATTCTGTGGGGTTATTCTGCAGTCTGTGGTCATAAACGGATTATATTTTCAAGATTTCATGGAAACTGCAATCGTGATAAGCACTAACCAATCACAGGGTAGAGTTCAGAAATACGCAGACCTGTGGCAGACCTGTTGCACCGCAGTCTTCTGTTTTATGATTGATTTCCTACTTGGAAAATATTTAATCTCAAAACGGTTTATCTCCACCTAAAACTGGATGCCATTATAATCTGATTGAACAGTTGTAACAGGCATACTGTAAAATGATGTACTACAGTTGAAGTCACAGTCACTAGCCCATTTAAGCTTAATATCCTTGTCATCTATCGCCCTCCAGGTTCCCTTGGAGAGTTCATCAATGAGCTCGATGCCTTGATAAGTTCCTTTCCTGAGGATGGCTCACCCTTCACAGTTTTGGGGGATTTCAACCTCCCTACGTCTACATTTGACTCATTTCTCTCTGCCTCCTTCTTTCCACTCCTCTCCTCTTTTGACCTCACCCTCTCACCATCCCCCACCCACTCACAAGGCAGGCAATACGCTTGACTTCATCTTTACTAGATGTTGCTCTTCTACTAATCTCACTGCAACTCCCCTCCATGTCTCCGACCACTACTTTGTATCCTTTTCTCTCTCGCTCTCCTCCAACACTACTTACTCTGCCCCTACACAGATGGTAACGCGCCGCCGCAACCTTCGCTCTCTCTCTCCCACTACTCTCTCCTCTTCCATCCTATCATCTCTTCCCTCTGCTCAATCCTTCTCCCTCCAATCTCCTGATTCTGCCTCCTCAACCCTCCTCTCCTCCCTTTCTGCATCCTTTGACTCCCTGTGTCCCCTATCCTCCCGGCCGGCTCGGTCCTCCCCTCCAGCTCCGTGGCTTGATGACTCATTGCGAGCTCACAGAACAGAGCTCCGGGCAGCTGAGCGGAAATGGAAGAAAACTAAACTCCCAGCCGACCTGGCATCTTTTCACTCCCTCCTCTCTACATTTTCTTCATCTGTTTCTGCTGCTAAGGCCACTTTCTACCACTCTAAATTCCAAGCATCTGCCTCTAACCCTAGGAAGCTCTTTGCCACATTCTCCTCACTGCTGAATCCCCCCCCCTCCCTCTCTGTGGATGACTTTGTCAACCACTTTGAAAAGAAGGTTGACGACATCCGATCCTCGTTTGTTAAGTCTAATGACACTGCTGGTCCTGCTCACACTGCCCTACCCTATGCTTTGACTTCTTTCTCCCCTCTCTCTCCAGATAAAATCTTGCGACTAGTGACTGCAGGCCGCCCAACAACCTGCCCGCTTGACCCCATCCCCTCCTCTCTTCTCCAGACCATCTCCGGTGACCTTCTCCCCTACCTCACCTCGCTGATCAACTCATCCTTGACCGCTGGCCATGTCCCTTCCGTCTTCAAGAGAGCGAGAGTTGCACCCCTTCTCAAAAAACCAACACTCGATCCCACTGATGTCAACAACTACAGACCAGTATCCCTTCTTTCTTTTCTTTCCAAAACTATTGAGCGTGCCGTCTTTAGCCAACTCTCTTGCTATCTCTCTCAGAATGACCTTCTTGATCCAAACCAGTCAGGTTTCAGGACTGGTCATTCAACTGAGACTGCTCTTCTCTGTGTCACGGAGGCTCTCCGCACTGCTAAAGCTAACTCTCTCTCCTCTGCTCTTGTCCTTCTAGACCTGTCTGCTGCCTTTGATACAGTGAACCATCAGATCCTCCTCTCCACCCTCTCCGAGCTGGGCATCTCCGGCGCGGCTCACTCCTGGATTGCGTCCTACCTGACCGGTCGCTCCTACCAAGTGGCGTGGCGAGAAGCTGTCTCCGCACCACGTGCTCTCACCACTGGTGTCCCCCAGGGCTCAGTTCTAGGCCCTCTCCTTTTCTCCCTATACACCAAGTCACTTGGCTCTGTCATATCCTCACATGGCCTCTCCTATCATTGCTACGCTGACGATACACAACTAATCTTCTCCTTTCCCCCTTCTGATAACCAGGTGGCGAATCGCATCTCTGCATGTCTGGCCGACATATCAGTATGGATGACGGATCACCACCTCAAGCTGAACCCTGGCAAGACGGAGCTGCTCTTCCTCCCGGGGAAGGACTGCCCGTTCCATGATCTCGCCATCACGGTTGACAACTCCGTTGTGTCCTCCTCCCAGAGTGCGAAGAGCCTTGGCGTGACCCTGGACAACACCCTGTCGTTCTCCGCTAACATCAAGGCGGTGACCCGATCCTGCAGGTTCATGCTCTACAACATTCGGAGAGTACGACCCTGCCTTACACAGGAAGCGGCACAGGTCCTAATCCAGGCACTTGTCATCTCCCGTCTGGATTACTGCAACTCGCTGTTGGCTGGGCTCCCTTTCTGTGCCATTAAACCCCTACAACTCATCCAGAATGCCGCAGCCCGTCTGGTGTTCAACCTTCCCAAGTTCTCTCACGTCACCCCCCTCCTCCGCACACTCCACTGGCTTCCAGTTGAAGCTCGCATCCGTTACAAGACCATGGTGCTTGCCTATGGAGCAGTGAGGGGAACGGCACCTCCGTACCTTCAGGCTCTGATCAGTCCCTACACCCAACCGAGGGCATTGCGTTCATCCACCTCTGGCCTGCTGGCTCCCCTTCCTCTGCGGAAGCATAGTTCCCGCTCAGCCCAGTCAAAACTGTTCGCTGCTCTGGCACCCCAATGGTGGAACAAGCTCCTTCACGACGCCAGGACAGCGGAGTCACTCACCACCTTCCGGAGACATCTGAAACCCCACCTCTTTAAGGAACACCTGGGATAGGATAAAGTAATCCTTCTACCCCCCCCCCCCCCAAAAAAAAAAGTATAATTGTAAAGTGGTTATCCCACTGGCTATAGGGTGAATGCACCAACTTGTAGTCGCTCTGGATAAGAGCGTCTGCTAAATGACGTAAATGTGCCCTTGAGCAAGGCACTTAACCCTAATTGCTCCTGTAAGTCGCTCTGGATAAGAGCGTCTGCTAAATGACTAAAATGTAAATGTAAAAGTCGGAAGTTTACATACACTTAGGTTGGAGTCATTAAAACTTGTTTTTCAACCACTCCACAAATTTCTTGTTAACAAACTATAGTTTTGGCAAGTCGGTTAGGACATCTACTTTGTGCATGACACAAGTAATTTTTCCAACAATTGTTTACAGACGGATTATTTCACTTATCATTCACTGTATCAGAATTCCAGTGAGTCAGAAGTTTACATACACTAAATTGACTGTGCCTTTAAACAGCTTGGAATATTCCAGAAAATGATGTCATGACTTCTGATAGGCTAATTGACATCATTTGAGTCAATTGGAGGTGTACCTGTGGATGTATTTCAAGGCCTACCTTCAAACTCAGTGCCTCTTTGCTTGACATCATGGGAAAAATCAAAAGAAATCAGCCAAGACCTCAGAAA